TTTATGTATAGTTTCACAAAACTGAAGTCAAACCATTCTGTTTTTGCTTCAAATTTCAAAATTATACAATTTAATTTAGATTAAAAACTGCTCGTGTTGCATGTATGCAGCATCTTTGTTTGGATCGTGATTAAAATGCAGTGGTTGCCTCTAATTTTAAATGGAAAGAGCACAGACAAAGCCTTAGTTTGTTTATATGAAGACATTTATTTTATTTGTGTTACTTATTTATTTGATTTGGGGCTTGTTTTTAAATTTCAATTTAGTTTAGTTATTTACATTTACATTATATTTAAATTTTGTAATTTAGCAGACACTTTTGTCCAAAGCGACTTACAAATGAGGACAATAGAAGCAATCAAAACCAACAAAAGAGCAATAATATCCAAGTGCTATATTAGTATATTATTATACATTTAGCAGACGCTTTTATCCAAAGCGACTTACAGTGCATTCAGACTATACATTTATTACCAGTATGTGTTCCCTGGGATTGAACCCATGACCTTTTGCACTGCTAACGCAATGCTCTACTCAATGCTAACGCAATGCTCTCTCAAAAATTAAATAAAATCGTGAATCGAATCGAATCGTGAGTTGAGTGAATCGTTATATCCCTAACAGTGAATACTGTAATATTCGTTAACGTTTACTTACTTGACGATGTTGTGTCCTCAAAATGCCTTGAAGACTTGAATACAGCCGTTTGTGATTCTTAATTTGCACCCGCGAGCATACATACGCGTGTGAAGTACAGACGCCGATGCGGGAGAGATGGGTCTGACTCCAGGCTACTTTTACACTGTTGCTGCGGGTTATAATGCAAGTTAGCGGTTCTAAATTTTTAGCGGTTTTGTGCTCTGATTTATTTTTGGTTTTGTGCTGGTATTGGTCTATTTTGCATGCTTGTGATAGGAATCGATCCCTTGACGTGATTGGTTATTGGTTTGTGACGTAGCAAACCACATTTCTGGGAGTGCCATTGGGAAACTACACTTTTAAGGAGAAAATACTCAGCAATGGTGTTGATTAATGGATTGGCACATGGTTTGTCTAAAAGCATATTAAAAACACCGCATAGACAAATAAACAACATAAAGTTGATTTTCACTACAGGGGGACTTTAAAGTATCCTGTTCGTAGCTTAGCATTAGCAACCATGCTAACACAACACTGCCTTAGAAGGCTCTGCCTGAGCAGACAGTGAGACGAGTTTAAATACTTGTCTGCTCGGCTTGTAAATGCATGTTTCATTTGTTTTTACAAATCAAGGGGTGAGGCAGCGTTATTCTCTGTGCAAACTGACAACATCCCAAGCTTGAGTTACATTTAACCAGCAGTATTTCTTGAAAGAGAGGATAACCGATTTGGAAATGATCACAGGAGAGAGAATATGCTGCATAGTAGAAGACAAGTTATTATGGCATGTCAAATGGACAGGATGTCTGAATACAGCCGTTTGTGATTCTTAATTTGCACCCGCGAGCATACATACGCGTGTGAAGTACAGACGCCGATGCGGGAGAGATGGGTCTGACTCCAGGCTACTTTTACACTGTTGCTGCGGGTTATAATGCAAGTTAGCGGTTCTAAATTTTTAGCGGTTTTGTGCTCTGATTTATTTTTGGTTTTGTGCTGGTATTGGTCTATTTTGCATGCTTGTGATAGGAATCGATCCCTTGACGTGATTGGTTATTGGTTTGTGACGTAGCAAACCACATTTCTGGGAGTGCCATTGGGAAACTACACTTTTAAGGAGAAAATACTCAGCAATGGTGTTGATTAATGGATTGGCACATGGTTTGTCTAAAAGCATATTAAAAACACCGCATAGACAAATAAACAACATAAAGTTGATTTTCACTACAGGGGGACTTTAAAGTATCCTGTTCGTAGCTTAGCATTAGCAACCATGCTAACACAACACTGCCTTAGAAGGCTCTGCCTGAGCAGACAGTGAGACGAGTTTAAATACTTGTCTGCTCGGCTTGTAAATGCATGTTTCATTTGTTTTTACAAATCAAGGGGTGAGGCAGCGTTATTCTCTGTGCAAACTGACAACATCCCAAGCTTGAGTTACATTTAACCAGCAGTATTTCTTGAAAGAGAGGATAACCGATTTGGAAATGATCACAGGAGAGAGAATATGCTGCATAGTAGAAGACAAGTTATTATGCCATGTCAAATGGACAGGATGTCTTGCCCATGTGATTAGCGTGAGCTCAGTGTTGTGGCTGTAGGTCATACGCCCGACATTAGTGATGCTTCGCATTAGCCAATCTCTGTCGGTTTTCTATGTCTATGCATAACCATTTCTGAAATAAACCCTCAGGTACTGTTAGTATGAAGTACTAATTTATCAGATGCCTTAATCCAAAGCAACTGACGTTAATCAAGTAACTCAAGTAACATTAAGGTGTGCAGGTTACAACAAAAGCGTTTCCCCCAGGGTGTGCAATATATAAGGCTACTGAAAGTTAATGTTTACCAGTTTTAGAAGAAGAACCACTTAATCGTTTAATTGGGAGCTTGAAATGCATGAGTAGGTGGATGTGACCGACTCGCCCCACACCCTTCCAGCTGGAAAGGGCATCGAGAGCAAGGCAGTGCCCGTTCTGTGGCGTGAGCTCTAAATAAACAGGGTGTGCCACCTTTGGCCAGATCCAGACCTCAATCGACATGTGTCTTGCCGCTGGATCCCAAATGAATGGGCCTTTTCTTTTCCACACACACACACACATACACATGCGTAAACACATTCTACTTGTTTTTTGTGTTTGGAAAAGTCCAAAACAGATGACTTTTCATGTCATGTTGTCCATATCTACAAGTGGTCAGTTGTTTTGTGGCATAGCTGTGTTCTGATGATCTCATGGAGAGGAATTCTTGAGCGTGATTTCCTGTTCTGGATTGTCTGAGTGTAGCACAGCTTAAACATTGACCACACAAACGGCCGCATTGAGTCGTGCCATGTCAGTTACAGCGTCACATGTTTCATGAACTCGCGCTGTCAGCTCATCAGATTGCTATTGGATCGGGATTTAATTCTGCACGTGATAATCTGGGTGAAAGGGTTTGTATGTGGATATTTCTAAGGAGCGTTGTTCTAGGCCAAGCTCGTCTGGTCTGCTTTCGGGAATGCTGGAATGTGTATCAGGTTGACGATTCCTGTTGGAATGTGGTCAGGCCGGTTTGTTAGTCGACAGGTGTCTCGTGTTGCACCTGATATTATCCACCCACTAACCTGAAACATTTGGACACACCTTAGATAGCTCTATCTAACAAAAAGCATTCCTAGCTCAATGACAAGCTCATGGTTTCGATTCCCAGGGAATGCATGAACTGATTATACAGTATACCTGAATGCAGTCTTATTCACTTTTGATAAAAGCGTCTGCCAAATGCATACATGCAAACTCTAAAGGCACACCTAGCAGTAGATTGCATCTCCATGAATACTTCTATCCATGATTAACACTTCCTTTTTCTCTGTTGTTTTCTTGTTCTCCGAAACTCGCAGAAGGACCCGGACTACCTGAAACTCTGGTTGGAGATCTTCATCGGCTCTTATGAGAGATGTCTGGATGTGGATTTTGAGAAACCGCTAACCAGGTAGACATTACAACAGTCCAGATACGTTCATCCATCAATCTATCCCTCGAAGATGCACTTACTGTACCCTTCCATTATCAAGTGAATAATTGCGTAAAGGAATGAGCTTATTAAGTTCACAGTTCCTTGTCACAAGCTTTTTCTGGACTAAAATATGGACTAAAGTCTTGCATAGCCACACTTTTGACTGTTAGCATCAAGTCTGGTCCACTTTATTAAAGGGTTAGTTCACCCAAAAATCCTTGTGTTCATCTTCGGAACACAAATGAAGATATTTTTGATGAATTCTGAGAGCTCTCTGACCCTCCCATAGACAATATTATTGCATAGCAATGTAATTACCACGATCAAGGTCCAGAAACGTAGCAAAGAGATCGGTAAAATGATCCATGTGACATCAGGGGTTCAACCATAATTTTACGAAGTTACGAGAATACTTTTTGTACGCAAAGAAAACAAAAATAACAGCTTTATTCAACAATTTGTCTCCTCCGTGTCACCCTGGTGCCATTTTGGAGAGTATCCACTGAACGTAAACGGCGTATGCTGTTCGGTGTCAGCTGCGTCACGCGGATAAGTTTTCTTCGTAAAATTACAGTTTAACCCCTGATGTCACATGGATCATTTTACCGATCTCTTTGCTACGTTTCTGGACGTTGATCGTGGTAATTACATTGCTGTCTATGGGAGGGTCAGAGAGCTCTCAGAATTCATCAAAAATATCTTCATTTGTGTTCCGAAGATGAACGAAGGTCTTACGGGTTTAGAACGACATGAGGGTGAGTAATTAATGACAGAATTTTCATTTTTGGGTGAACTGTCCCTTTAAGGCAGCCCATCAACTAGTCAGTTGTAAAAAAAATATGTAGTTTTGCATCCTGAATCACTTCTGTGTAGAAATGGAGGTTGTTTTTGTAGTACATATATAAATGGGTGTAACCATAATGCTCAATATGGCGGCTGTAGTCCCGCCTTCAGTTAAAGGAGCCAATCACCTTTTTAGTAGAAGCAAGGCAACACACAATATGGCAGCTTTAGAAATAAATGTCCCGACTTGTACTCAAGAATGCACAAATTAATTAGCCTGAATATTACAGAAGATCCATTGTCCATTGTTAGTACTCCAGGATCACTTCCAAACCAAGCAATTTTATATTGGTTAACACTACGAATTTGCTTGTTCAAAGTTCAACAAACTTGAATCCGAGGTGAATTCTATGTGGGGAAGTTTCTATTTCAGATTTCTTTTGAAAGAAATCTGCAGTCTCAATCCTGCAGTTTTGCTGTAGAAAGGTAAACGTGATTGAACCCGAAAAACCACAATCTGTAATGCAGTGGTTCTCAAATGTATTTAAAATATATTATTGAAATGCAATTTAGACAAACAGGGCATCATGAATATGGCCACAGACTAAAGTGAGTTGCCTTAAAGGGGAGTCATTTGTATAAAAGAGGCCAGTCAGATTGGAGCTTTGTGTTTTTTGTCAGATCTGACCAAGTTAATGTTACCTTGTGTGAAGTCCATTATTAAATTGTTTAGCTTTTTTTTTTGACATACTATTATAGTGTTTGTTAATATTTTAAATTCGATTTTTTTTTCAGTTTTTACTTAAATTTGAGTTAGTTTTAGTCATTTTATTGTGTTTTTTATTATTGGTTAATTTATTATTATTATTATTGTTATTTAGTTTTATTATTATTTTAGTACTTAACCTAAAAGGGAAATGTTGCCTTAAAAATGTTACTTATACATTATGGTTTTAGTTTTAATTAATGACAATAACCCTAGTTAAGACTGTCTTTGAGTAGTTTGTTGGTTTTTAATATGAGGCTGAGACTAGACAGGAAGTACTCCTTTTTAACTGCTAACCTCAGTTAAACTTATTAAAGCTAATTTAATGGTTTAATATTAGAGACCCATCACATGATTGATATGGTTATGTGTCTGTTTGTGTACATGCATGTCTGTGGATAATGAGCCGTATTTAACGGACTCCCTGCCATCATGGTCACATAAAAGTGGTAAATAAGAGAGTGACCGAGGCTGAAGGACAGAAAGAGGGAGAGTGTTGAAGGATTTATGTGGCGGTAGTGCAGAGTGTGTGGCTTGAGAAAATCACTCTAGCTCTCCCAGCTGTGATCATGAAGTGCTTAGACTGTCAGAGGACATTCTTGAACTCCTTCTGGTGCTGGAAAAACACACTCTTGTAGGGCATTATTTGCCTTCACAGTCACGTGTGCAGAATTACAAATCCCTGAGGTGCTGTTAAGGACTAAGTCACCCCAAAATGACAGTTCGGTCATCAATTATGCCTTCAAACCCCATATGTTGGTCTTCATTTTCAATGCAATTAGTTCCCAGGGGATTCAAGCATCACAAAAGCTCCATATAAATATCATAATCAATATATATGGACCATTGCATTTATAATAGGGCTGTGTTGAAAAAGGGCTGTTTAATTGATTCTCATTTTGATGAACTGATATTGATTCTTAAATTCCAAGAATCAATCTTTTAGTCTATGCTGTTTTCAGCTAGTGCATGAACAAAACTGAGCTAGAAAAGCAGCATTTTGCTAAATATATGTAATGTATTACATATTCATAATTTTTTTCTTAACCTGTTCTTCCATATTTCATGTATCTTTGAGCAAATCAGTCATGAAAACATGTTTTTATAACGGTCACCAGTTAAATGTTTATATTTGAAAAAACAAACCAGTAGAAATGTAATTATATCTTTAAAAAGTTGTTGTTATAATGTGCCTGCCTTAAATCTAATTTAAACTTTTGTATACAAAGCAGTTGTTCATTTTAACCTTTAATATTATAGTAATATACCAAGTGATTGACTGTAAAATCAGTTTAAAATCCAGTTGAGATCAGAATTGAATCGAATCGCAAGTCTGTGAATCGTTAATGGAATCGCAAGTTTGTTCGTTGAATCGCAAGTTTGTAAATCAGAATGCAAGTTTGTGAATCGAATCACTAGTTTGTGAATTGTGAATGGAATCGCAAGCTTGTGAACCAGATAACAATATTTCTAACTGTTTTGCATGTGTGCTGCAGGTTGGAGGAGACGCCGCCCGTCATGACGCTGTTACCTGATAATATCCTGCAGGTGTTGCGTCTGCAGCTGCTGCAGTGTGTGCAGAAAGCATCTGAGGGACTGGAGCCCGAGCAGCAGACGCTGGCGCTCCTGCTCCTCAAATTCCTCATCGTCACCTGCAGGTCAGACTCTGAGACGTCACACCAGTGGCCTGCACTTTATGACTAAGAAAAAACTGATTACAGAAACAGATCAGTATTCGAGCTAAATACGCAAACTAACTGAAGTAAAAGAGTGATTTGAACTGTTTGGAAATAAGAGTCTCTTATGAAAATATGAAGTGCATTGAATCCCAGTAAAAACAGAAACTGGACACCTGTGATCCTGCTCAATGTTTCATGAGTTCTCTGAGCACCTGCTGCTGAGGGTTCATGCCTGGTTTCCACTTTCAGCGACATATCAAGACTTTTACACCGCAAAAAGTTTTACACCTTAGAGTTATAAGTAAATAATCTTATTTAAAACTGAAAACAAGATTTTTTTTTTTTTTTTGCTCACCCCAATGGCAGATTATTTTGCTTGTTTTAAGGAAAAACTCACTTAATTTTGATTTATTTTTCTGAAAACAAGACAATAATTTTTACTGAATAATTTTAGAAAATGCTTGTAGATTTAAGAATTTTTAGATATTTGGACTAGAAACAAGACAAAAACTCTAAGTAAGAAAAGCATTTTTTGCAGTGTAGGGTCCAACAGTGCGATTACTCGAATGGCAGCTGCTACTCATATGTACACACACACACACACTTAATGCAGACATCCTTTATTACTCCATTATTTAAGTTTATTTAACATGACTCTAGTCAACTTTTAAATATATTGTTAAGTTTTAGTTGTTTACAGTTTTTAAAAGTAAAAGAGCATTTTTTCAGACATTACCATTCAAAAGTTTGGGGTAAGTCATTTTTTAGAATTTTTATTTATTTTATTATTATTTTTTATTTATTCAGCATAATTTTATACAAAGATGCATTATTAAATTGATCAAAAGTAACAGTCAAATAAATGCTGTTCTTTTGAACTTTCTATTGAAAGAATAGAAAAATCATGGTTTTCCACAAAAATAATAAACAGTTTTAACATTGATGATAATCAGAAATGTTTCTTCAGCAGCAAATCAGCATATTAGAATGATTTCTGAAGATCATGTGACACTGAAGACTGGAGGAATGATGCTGAAAATTCAGCTGCGCATCACAGAAATAAACTACATCTTAAAATATATTAAAATAGTAAACAGCTATTTTAAATTGTGTAAATATTTCCGAATATTATTGTTTTGACTGTACTTTTTAACACAGCCTTGGCGAGCTTAAGAGATTTCTTTCAAAAACATTTAAGAAATCTAACCGTCCCCAAACTTTTGAACAGTAGTGTAGCTCCTGGGGCAATTTTGTCGTCTTCAGAGAACATATTTCACATGCATGTCCACTCAGTGAGATGTTGTAATTTGTCCACACACACAGACTTTGTAGCGTTCAGCAGCAGTCAGTGTGTGATTTATGATCATAGGGCTGGCAGGGGAATCTCTCTGACAGCTAGAACTAATGGTCCTGTCATACGGCGGTCTGTCCAATACAGCTTCACACACACACACACAGAGTTTCTCCACACTGACAGCTGTGTGATGTGTCTTGACAGGAACCTGTCAAATGTGGAAGAGATCGGCGCCTGTTCCTACATAAACCACATCATCACCATGACAACGCTTCACATCCAGCAGGTCTGAAACTTGCTCCAAAATCAAGTTTTCGGTTTATCCATAAATTTTTTTACTTTCTGTCACCATTATTTAATGGTTGTCAAACTGGCCTATGTTTTTCCTCCTCCTCTCGCACTTGCTCTTCCTTGGCTCTTCCCTATTCTTTTTTTTCTTCATTTTACTATTAATTCTTCTGCCTTTTCTTTCTATTTCTTTTTCCATGCCCCTTTCCTCTTCTCAATCTCTTCCTTTTCCTATAATGTCCTGTTCCTTTTCTTTACTCTTTCCTTTATTCTTCCCTTCCTCTTCCTTTTTCTGTTTTCCTCTTCTCTTCTCTATTTCCTCGTTTCTCTCTTCTTTCCTGAGGAAGCCTAGGGGAAAGGGATGTGGAAAATAAAATGTTAAGGAAGAGGAAATGACAGGAGCATTTTCCTCTCCACTTTTTTCCTCTTCCTCTTTATTTTCCTGTCATTTATTCTTTGTTTTCCTTTTCCACATCCCTTTCTTCTAGTCTTTCTCTTCCTTTTCTGGTTGTTTCCTCTTCCTTTCCATTTTCCTTCCTTTTTAACAGGAAAATAAAAAGGAAGAATAAAAGCATTTTCCTCTCCTCTTTTTTTGTTTTCCATTTTCTTTACCTTTCCTTTTCCTCTTCCTTTCTCTGCTTTCTTCTTCCATTGAATTATTATTATTCCACAATTATTATTATTATTGTTTCCTCTTCTTCCATCCTTTTTATTGTTCCGTCTTTCTGTTTTCCTCTCTCTTTTTCTTTTTTCTCTTCCCTTCCCTTTTCTCTTATTCCTTTTTCTGTATTCCTCTTCTCCTCTTTCATTTTCTCTCCTCTTTATTGTCCTTTCTGTTTCACCTTTTTTTCCTCTTCTCCTCAGTATTAAAGTAAATCCTCTCTTTTTCTCTCTGTTTAGCTGAAGAGTAAGACGAAAGAGAAGGAGCTGGCTGATCAGACACAAGCCGAGGAGTTTGTCCGTCACGCTTTGGCCTTCTGTGAGAGTCTGTATGATCCCTATCACAACTGGAGGCATCGCATTCACGGGTGAGATATGCAACCAATGCCGATCCCACAGCTGAAGCTGACGTACAAATGGCAGCTTTTCAGAAATAACTGGAATATTTCTCTTTGATGGCACGATGCGTCTTTCTAGACTTTCACCCAATTGTCCAACGGGGAACATTTCTTCATTGCATGCAAAAAAATGCATTGTATGTAAACATCAGACCTGTCAAATGCCAGTCATGCTTCAATAAGAGGACTTCACAGCCTCAGTTGTTAATCTCTTTGTACGAGCATGTACCAATCCAGTATGCACCTCCTCATGCACACTGAATAGGGCATTCTTAGGCTGCTAATCTGTAGAATAAACCGGTGTTGTTTGGAGAGCTGCTCTGTTTAAAATAGCGGTGCAGAGTCAACGTTAAATCAAAACCATTCACTGAAAAAGGAAATCATTTACTTTCTTAATAAATACTCCTGGGCTTCTTGTGAATGATTTGTCAGTGCATGTTATTTTAAAGAAAAAATGTTTGTTTTATTAATCTTTTATCAAAATTTTTAATTTTTACCATCACTCAGAAGTACTATACATTATCTGCAGTAAAATGCTTTGTAAATGTTGTTGCTTTAGTTATTTGACACCACAATAATGACAGGCCAGTGGAGAGTCTGTATGTGAAGGTTTATGTTATAAGTTATGGTATATATGTTGCTAACCCAAAGTGCAGTTGAATCCAGCGCAGTTCCCTGTTATTCAGTAACGTGAGCCACACAGATACACAGTCAAATGAGGCGAACACACACATATACAGTGAAAAACACAGCTGTGTTTGACCAATAAACACTTGTAGTCTGGTTCTACAAGTTCTGTGAAGAGCTGTTCGTCTTTTCACTCTGTGTGTGTGTGTGTGTGAGAGTGTGTGTGGATGGAGGTGCTGCTGGGAGTGTTGGGTGCCGGCGAGTGTCTGAGCGGAGGTGGAGATGGAGAGGACTGGGACAGCGAGGCTCCTGACAGGAAGGCACTGTTGACTCTGGGCTGTTTGCGGGAGGTGGTGCACCGGCTCCTGGCCAGCAGCTCCGATCAGAGACAGGTGGAGATCAGCTCAGTGCTGGAGAGCTACTTCAAACTGCTCAACTCGGACCCCGCCGCCACAGCGCAGGTCAAAGGTCGCCCGTCGCCGCCCCGCTCTCGGCACTGGGAGAGCCGCTTTGTGGCGTTACAGGTGAACATGCTCGGTGAGTTGATCTGTCACTCGTGTCGTGTTTGCTAATCTTGACCGCTTCTCTGTTCTGAATCCTGTTCTCCGTTTCACTTGCTCAAATAATAAAAAAAGAAAATGATTTTATTCAGCAAAGATGCATTAAGTTGATCAAAAGTGGCAGTGAAAACATTTATAATGTTTTAAAAGATTTGTGTTTCAAATAAATGCTGTTCTTTTGAACTTTGTTCATCAAAGAATCCTGTACAGTTTCCATAAAAATATAAGCGACACAACTGTTTTCAACATTGATATTAATCAGAAATGTTTCTTGAGCAGCAAATCAGCATATTAGAATGATTTCTGAAGATTATGTGACACTGAAGACTGGAGGAATGATGCTGAAAATTCAGCTGCGCATCACAGAAATAAATTACTTTTTGAAATATATTACAATAGAAAACAGTTATTTTAAATTGTAATAATATTTCACAATATTACCGTTTTTACTGTATTTCTGATCAAATAAATGCAGCCTTGGTGAGCACAAAAGACTTCTTTCAAAAACATAAAAAGATCTTACTGACCCCAAACTTTTGAACAATAATTTAGCCTTCATTAGCCTGAAAAAATGTATTATAACAATTTATTACCTTTTTAAAAATAGAATTATCTGATCCTAAACAGTGAAAGAATATTTGGATGCAAATTAGTTCCCTAAGCCTTAACATACTAATATTCAGCAGGTAATTGTAGTCCAGTCATACTGACTTCTACATAATTTATCTTAAAAATCATGGTAGATCTCCTATGGAAGATAGATGTGTTATCTCCTAATAGATGTGGAGATTTTTGATTGGATTCTTCCAAAACCCAACAGTTGAGCTCTATTGACACTATATGACTTTTACAGGATGTTAATGACCTGCTGCCTTATATATTGTAATGTTTGTCAGGAATATCCTTGTTTGTTGTAGATCCTGTCAGAATCTAAAGCTAGATTTGCTAATATTCATTTAACTGACAGTGTGTTCAGTTGGAGGATTTATTCTCGCCAGCTAGTTTCTTGTGCAAATGTTTACAATCCTGTTTTTTTTTTTTATCTTTGCCTTAAAAGAACAGTTTTTTTTGTGCATATTTGTGTGTTTCAGATTAACGGTTTCTTTATGATGTATGTTGCTATTAAAACTGTCTTACTGCGCTTATAGAGTTATCATCTTACAGCATGTACACTGAACTGCAGCACTGCCTTCTATCCATGCATGTTTTTGTCCTTTAGCGACGGAACATTTAGGCACTTAGGGTCACGACCTTTGACCTCCTACCTTTTAACCTTAACACTTTGCACTTTCCTCTCATCTGCCCGTCTGTGCTCGCTGCGTTCGGCTCCCTCCGGCAGCTGGTTAACGCTAGGTGCACAGCCGCAGACAAGGACCAGAAAGATTTAACCAACAGGTTACTGACAGGAGAGAGTGAGATTCAGGTACCGCCCACCTGTGCCTGTCGCTCCCGCTCACCACACACATGACCACTCCAGGACAAGATCACAGTCCTCTCTCTGTCTCTCTCTCACCTGAGCAGGGTCACTATGAGTCACAAAGTCACGTATAAACCAAACTTATCGGTGATATACCGTTGATACGAGCAAATGGAATTGTATTTTTAATAATTAGAATTTGTTTATTTTTGTTTTTCATCGGAACTTACATGACAACATTTTAAGAAACTTTGAATAGCCGAGAACAATATCTACAGTGATCAATATAATATAAATATAATAATAATGTGTAAAATATATAATAATAGAAATAATATATAAATGTAAATACATTTTAAATAATATTTTATAAAATAAACAAATTTTTTTTTTAATGTAGTATAATTAATAATGTTATATAATAATATACACTGTATTGCATAAATAATATATGAATATAAAATAGTTTTAATATATTATAATGTGTATACTATATACAAAAAATAGACACACACATGTGTATATATATATATATATATAATGAACACTCAATTTTAATGATGCAAAATAAAACATTTTCATCTTGTTTATAATATAAATTTAGAATTTAGATAATAATGAATATATTATAAAGTTTGTTAAAAAAATTAAAACATAAAAAATTCAATATAATTGTGGAAAATAACATGTACATGATGTTGCTGAAATTCAACTTAACGTAAATTTTTGTAATGACATTATTATAGTGTAATACTGGCCTGTCACTAGTTTCACATTTAAATGAACTGTCTCAGTTGTATTTGGATACATTTTCCATCACATTTATATTATGACACATTGACCAAAATGTTTAATAAATGTAATATTTAAAATGCAAAATTCCCCACTCATATTTGCATGCATTTGCATTTGCACCATGACCTGACAACACAAGAGTGTCATATCCAAATATACTGTCACCATAAGTGACCGGCCCTGCTCTCTTTCATAAGGCATTCAATGCTTCCTTGTAGCAGAAGCAGAACAATTATAAGTCCGTCTCTTCATGTAAAGTGCTCTGAATGTAGAAGCTTGTAATGGAGTGGTCTTTAGATTATTTACTCAGTCATGCTTTCAATAATCATCTCATTCTATTTATTTTGCTTTGCTTGTTTCCCTCCCGTTCCCTCTGGTGGTTTGGTAACAGGGTCGGAATGCTGTGACTTCAGCAGCCTTGAGATTATCGACCTATAGCTGTGTGCTTTGCGCTGTATAGAAGTACCTCCTTGATTTCATGTCGTCTTCTGTTTATTGCTGCTCAGTGTTTGTCACTCTCCAGCCAGTCTTTGTCGATTTCTTATACATAATGAACTAGCCAATGGACTGTATTCCGCCAGGAGACACATTTTTTTCATGTCATCTTCATAAATGAAAAGTGAATCTTTAATGTGAATTTTACTGCACAGCTGTAACTAATCTCACTCCAGCCAGGGAACCAAAGCTGGCAACCCTGTGTACATATTAGGGGTGCAATGGTTCTCGGTAAAAAATGCACTAGGACCGCGGTTCAAATCTGGCAATGCATCTGTAATATGGTTTGTTAGAGTTCGGCTAATGCATGTTTCTGTTGAAGGATACAAATTCTGGCTTCCCAATACATTACAACAAGAGCGATGAGAGACAAAAAACAATACGTGGACAAACCAGTCACTCTTTGTTCAATGCGAGTGCTGTATGCTGGAATAACTGTCATTTATCCCGTCATCACGTGTTGATAACACAGGTGAGACCTGAACAGCACACATTGCTGTCTGTGTTTAAACTAAACTCATTTAAGCCTGGCCAGTTTAAATATTAAAGAGCCAGACAATGCAAACTCGCACGCGCAGTGAGAAGATCTGTGTGTGCGCTCATCCGAAGCGCGTGAACCCGCGTCTCAGAACGCGCACAAATATTAAGCTCTCTTTGAAGTATTGTGCTTGAATGGACAAATTCACACAAAAATAGTCAAAATGCTTGGTGAGTATCCTATAGCAGACATAGCCGGCTGAACATACAGTCTCAGTGCACTGGATCAGTGCGTTCTCTTAAAGTGACAGCACTTTCTTAATATTAATCACACAGCAACAACACGGAAATCACTCACTGCTCTTGATTGAATAGCTTTTGTAACTTTAATAAGGATTAATCTTTAATTTATACAGTCAAATATGCAATGTTATTTTACATTTGATTACTTTATTCAATTTCTGTACCTAAAAACTAATGTTAGACCTACATAAAAAACCTGAAAAGCACTGTTTATTTTTTGTATCTTTGCTCTATTGTATTTGTGTGATGTTGCTTGTAGTTAGATTGTGTTCTTATTTTCTTTATTTTTATTTGATAGTATAGATTTTTCCTTAAACATGGCACGTACCGAAACCGTGACTCTAAAACCGTGACACAAACCGAACCGTGAGTAAGTTGAACCGTTGCACCCCGTATACATATTCAGTTATTTTCATGACTATGAAGGTCCGTTATCGATTATCAAGAACACCATTATGATGTTGTTTACGAGAGAGCATCGCTAGCTAGCTAACGTCAGCTTAAATAGTTACGATAGTGTTTAGTTGTAAGTATTTAAATGTACAATTACATATCTGGCTACTCTCCTGGGATTACCAGGCTCGGCATATAAAATGATATGTTGTTAAATAGCATGAAACCGTATGTTAATGCCGCGTTCATCATTTACTGAGTTGCAATTATTTTGTTACTCAGTTTCTGAAAAAAAATAGGCAGGAGAGATTTCTGTGAGCGTCTCAAGAGTCTCTACCTATATATATATATACCACAACATCAAATGACGTTTTACCGGAAGTTTACAAGCAGGCTTATCTTAATTTGGAAGTTCTGAAAAAAACTCCGTGCATATAGTCCATTGCAATGGCAGACTGAGCATCAGGAGTCTCATGACATGGCGTGGCTGGATAGAGATTTTGCGGAGTTGTGCAGGGAGTACGTTGTCTGTGTGTATGTATGAATTGTGTGTTGGTTGGTGTTGGGGAGTTTTAGTTTCAGATCTGAGCACTGATGGTCTGATATCATCTACTGTATATCAGAGGCTCAGAACTCAAAACAGTTTCACTCTGATAATCAACATTTTAAAATTTACACCCGCAACGCCTGATTCTATTCCTGCCTGTTCATGTAAGCATGGTTCTGTTGTAGCATTCTTGCCATTCATCATGGCTTTTCACTCATCATTTGCATGGCAAAGTAAACAGACAGGGAAGGAATAGAACAGGCCTCACGCTGTACTGAGTCTTCAGCCATTGGCTGGATCTCTTAATCGACTGTGATTTCCTCCAATCAGGTGTTCCAAGGGCGGCTCGACTCTCTTGCCGTGGCAACGATCAAAACTCTCACGACAGTGATGCACAAGTCACCTGCTGCAAAGGTTTGTTATAATCAAGCGATCCCTCATTAAGCTTTGTGTACAGGATTTCAATCTGGAATGGTCCTAAAGGGAAGTTTTATAATAGGATTCTAACATAAAACAAAAATATATACATTAGGGCTGCACGATTATGACAAAAAATCATAATTGTCGATTATTCCCTTGAAATGGTAATTGCAATTATTAATTACGATTATCACAATTTACATTGAAGGATGTTTATACCATTGTTTGATGCAACTGCATGCCGTATTTTTAGATGAAAATAAACAAGCCGAAAACACTTTAGTTTAATGTTTTAGTGCTTTTCTATAGTATTAACCCTCAAATGTCAAATATACATCGGATTGGTTTCTTCTTTAATTATAAAAAAAGTAAAAATATGAATGTATTATAATGTTGTACTAAAACAATGGACAAACCCTTAAGATAACATATAGGGAAAAAAAGCATGCATCCTTGCTGAATAAAAGTATAATTTTAGTAACCCCAAACTAGACTTTTTGCACCAAGATATATATTTTTGTATTTATTTATTTTATATTTTTATTATTAAGTAAAAAATACATAGTCATTACAAATATTTTGTAAATATTTGAAATATTGTATTATATCAAACTTTAACACACTGTAAAGAATAGTGGTGAATATTTTAAATGACAAGATCCTGTGTCTTGTGTGCACTATTTTTAATTTATTTGTCTGTTTGCGTATTCGTCACATTGTGTCTTTGGTCGTTGCATTGCATCATGCAGTTTTTTTCAGCTTCTTGATAGTGTTTAAAGCTTTTAATTAATATTTCTTCAAACGTTTTTTGTTATGTATCAGATTAGTTTAAAATTGGCAGTCTCCAGTGTGTGTGTGCCTCCTAATTGTAGTATTTAATTTATTTTTACTATGATAGCTATAAAAAAAAAATTATGTTTTGTGTGTTTTTGTGTAGTTTTTTCACCCCAGGTGGCACCGGATTCGAGGCCTTTATCAGTTCAGCTGGAGTGCTTGTGGTTGCCGTGTGCACTAAGAAAGAATATGTCACCGTCATGCTGCCTGACTACTGCTTCTGTGATTCGCTCTGGGTGAGTCACATGACCAAAGAAATTTTCGTATTTGTACTTCTATTTATATAACACGGATGAATTGATGTCTGGTTTGTATTTGACCTTCAGCATAGTATTGGTGTCGTTCACGTGCCGGGGAAGAGGCCGTTTGGCCAGAGTCTGGTCTACATTTTTGTGGATGGACAGCAGAAACTATCAGCACCTTTAAAATACCCAACCATGACTGAGGTGAGAGAAACAACTCTTTCTATGCTGTTTGTATTTCAAAACCCACCCAAAACTCCCTGTGTCAGTCCGGTCAAGTCTTTTATTGTGTGTATCTCGGTCCCAGGCCTTCACGTCATGCTGTATCGGTTCAGCGGGTCACCGCACCACGACGCCTCCTCCCTCTCAGATCCCCGATCCTCCGTTTTCTGGAGGCAATCCCTCCAGTCGCTCGTCCTTTGGCAATATCCTCCCAGGCTGGGGCGGCCTGCTAGGGACCAAACCTGAGTCCGTCACCAAACTGATTTCCGCCGGGACTCAGGACAGCGAGTGGGGCAGTCCCACCTCACTGCAAGGCCAACTGGGAAGTGTCATGGTCTTCCACGAGCCCCTCCAAGCCAGTCACGTCAAAGCCCTCTGTAGCTCAGGACCAAACTGTATTTCCCCCTTTAAAAGTCAAGAGGCTGAACTCGGAGACCTGGCGCCTAAACTTCTGCTACACTATTCTCCAAAGGTGAGGTGTCCATATAGGTACTGAGCTATATAGAAATGATGCACAATAAAAATAAGTTATATTTACTTTTTTATTATTATTATTTATCTTTACTCCGCTTCTGAGGGATAAACCAACATTTTATTTTAAAAATTGATATGAACAATCCTTGTACAATTAATATTAAAATAGTTTCTCATTATTTCACATTATTTAGTCATATATTTATAGTTTTACAAGTAGTAATTCAGATTTTATATGGATTTTCATGTATGTAGATTGAAAGACTGGATCTGGTACAAGGGTAAAACAAATCTATACATAAGGCATTTGAAAAGTAGCATATACTACCATTAGAAAAAAAATGTGGGTCTGTAAAATTCAAATTCAAAATTCAATTGATCAAAAGTGACAGTAAAAACATTTATAATATTACAAATGATCTCAGTTGCAAATAAATGCTGTTTTTTAAACTTTATATTAATCTAAGAATTGTAAAAAATAAAAAGTCAATTTCCACAAAAAATATTAAGCAGCACAACATTTTTCAACATTGATAATAATAATTTTATTTTGTATAAAGTTTGTATAAAGTTTTATAATATTGTATAATAAAGTTTTTTGAGAATCAAATCAGCATATTAGAATGATTTCTGAAGATCATGTGACACTGAGGACTGGAGGAATGATGCTGAAAATTCAGCTTTGATCACAGAAATAAATTACACTTTACAATATATTCAAATAGAAAACAGTTATTTGAAATTGTAATAATAATTCACAATATTACTGCTTTTACAGTATTTTGATCAAATAAATGCAGCTTTTTTGAGCACAAAAGTCTTATTTCAAAAACATAGAACTTTTGTACAGTTAAATTACACAATATATCTGTGTATATAAATTAAGGCATGCTGAAAAAGACCTTCATATAATAAAAAAGCGGGGGGAAAAATCAACAGCTGAGACACACAAGTGGCCAAAATTAAAAAGAAATACTCATATTTGTATTTGCTCTACTTCTTTCAAAAACATAGAACTTTTGTACAGTTAAATTACACAATATATCTGTGTATATAAATTAAGGCATGCTGAAAAAGACCTTCATATAATAAAAAAGCGGGGGGAAAAAATCAACAGCTGAGACACACAAGTGGCCAAAATTAAAAAGAAATACTCATATTTGTATTTGCTCTGAAACATCATAAGTGTCAGTTACTCATGTTTGCGACATGAATTCTTTAACATGTACATGACGGATCGTCTTTTTGCATATACAGGCATGTAGGAAAGCAATTTGTCTGGATTTGTCCCCTAATATGCTGCACGGTCGCCTGACAGGAAATCAAGTGGTCAACTGGGATATCAAAGTATGTACGCCGTTTCCCTTCCTTTGAGCTTTCTCCTCACACTCTCTGCTGAACCTGCTCACACTCTTTGGCCTTTTGTAGGACATGATCAACTGTGTTGGAGGGCTTCCTGTGTTGCTCCCAGTCTTGGAACAGTTGACTTTGTTAACCACTGATTTACATCACGCCGACCCCTCGGGGTCAGAGGTCATCACCCCTGACTCTGCCACACCTTCTGACGGAGACTGGGTCATACTGCCCTCAAACAGAGCGTCAGGTGAGCACACGCTCTTTATTAGACAGTGTTATAACTAAAACTTTAAAAAAAATCCTCTTGGTCATTTTGAAATCGTTGAATAAAATATAGATATTAGATGAAAAATTTGAAAAAGAAATTAGAGTATTAGAAATTAGAAAAAAAAATTTGAAACTAGAAATAAAGTGAAATCAAATAAGTTTAAATTTAAGTTTAATTGCAAAAAAACAACTGAAATAAATATAAAGTGAAATAGAAATATAAAAAAACTAATAAAAATGACAAAAGCGCATTACAAAATTGCTAAAATTAAAAGTGAAAATATAAAAATAAAAGCAAATTCAAAATATTAATAAATACTATAATAGTAAAAAAAACTCAAATACAGCAGCTTATTAACAGAATGAATATGACCCGATCTATTGCAACTAAAGGATCTCACCACCATAATTACATTTATGACTTAAACTATTCAAAATTGTTTTCATGAATAGAAATAAAGCTGAAATAAAACAAAATGAAAATATTAAATGACGAACTTAATGACTTAAAAATTCAAAAACGTAAATATAAAAAAGAAAGAAATAAACCGAAATAAAAGAAGTTTATTTCTGTGAAGTACTAACGTTACTAAAACTGAAATAAACATAAAGTGAAACAGAAATATAGTAAATGTGTAAATGGTAAAAATGACAGAAGTACATAAAAAATGACTAAAACTTAAACTTAAATGAAGTCAAAATAGAAAAATCAAATGTAATTCAAAATATTAATAAATAGTATAATTGAACGTACTACAATAACCATGTTATTAGCTGTTGGCTTTTGCATCTTAAAGATCTCACTGTGCCTGCCTCTTTTCTGTATTTGTGATTAATATGTCTTGATAATGTTGTGATATAATGTTTGTGAACATTTATTATTCAGAGGCCAGACTGGAGAAGAATCTCGTGGCGACGTTCTTGCTGGTGATCAAGCATTTCCTGCAGAGGCATCCTATAAACCAGGAAACCCTTCTGCACTCCCACGCTGTGGCCACATTAGGAGCTCTCCTTCAGAAGGTACCCATAATTCTCTTTCCTTTGATTTCTCGGTCTTGCTCTCTGTTTGTCTTCATTCGCTGTCGGTGTCTGTGTGTGTGTGTGCAGCTGCCAGCGTTCCTGGTGGACGTGAGCGTGCTGGTGGCGGTTCAGCTGTTGACTGAGCAGATGACGTATGAGAAGAACTCGCAGCTCCTGCAGCAGCTCCACACACACCTGCTCTTCAACTTCAGCATCTGGAACCAAGGAGATTTCCCACTGCGCATCGGTCAGTCTGCATGTGTGTGTGGGATTTATTCATGCTGCATTTATGTGTGTTTAAAGAAGCAAACTGTTTTGTTCATGCATGCTTTTGTTACACAAACTGATTTTCTTTTCTTGCTTTTTTTGTTGTTGAACGTTTCTGTTTATAGAGAGCATGATTATAGAGGGTTCTGGAAGTAAAAATCCCATTCATTTTCTCCATAGCAAAATTGTTTTTTTTTTTTTAACTCAATTGACAAATGTGACCCTGGAGCACAAAAGCAGTGTTAAGTCGCTGGGGTATGTTTGTAGCAATAGCCAAAAAAACATTGTATGGGTCCTTTATGCCAAAAATCATTAGGATATTAAGTAAAGATCATGTTCCATGAAGATATTTTGTAAATTTCCTACCGTAAATTATATAAAAACTTAATTTTTGATTAGTAATATGCATTGCTAAGAACTTCATTTGGACAACTTTAAAGGCGATTTTCTCAATATTTTGATTTTTTTTGCACCCTCAGATTCCAGATTTTTAAATAGTTGTATCTCGGCCAAATATTATCCTATCCTAACAAACCAAACATCAATGGAAAGCTTATTTATCCAGCTTTCAGATGATGTATAAATCTCAATTCCGAGAAATTGACCCTTATGACCGGTTTTGTGGACCAGGGTCACAAAATGGATAAAAAAAAAAAAGAGCAAATTTTTAAATGCAGTTTAAAATTAGCATATAATAATGATTTATTAATTTACTTGATGGTTTTATTAACCTACGTTTTAAAGCACATTGAATAAAAAGTTTTATACAGTATTTATATGTACATATGTCATTGTCAATTTATAATATTGATTTACATTTTTTAAAGGTTTCTTTAATGTATAGTTTCATTATTTTATTTAACTATATTTTAAAACACGAATTAAGTAAAAGTTTTAATTACGTCTATTAATTTGTCCATTTAAAAATGTGATTTATTTTTTCATTTTAATGTATGAATTATTAAACCGATTACTCCTATATTATTTTATTTTATATTACTTATTTTATTTTTATATATATTAAACTGATTACTCACAATTTATAATTGATGCCTTCAATTATTTTATTATAAGTGTCACTCCTAGTCCTTCATAATCATTAGCTCAGGAGTTAAAATTCATGTTTTTAAAAATAAAATGCATGTTTAATTGAATTACTGAACTGAACCCATAATCTGGAAGACTTTTGTGATGATCTTGATGTGCTTGTGATGTTGAAGGTCACATCCAGTACATGTCCACCATCATCAAAGACAGCAGGAAGCAGTTCAGGAAGAAATATGGAGTGCAGTTCCTGCTGGACACAGTACGCCTTTACTATGGGTAAGACTACATCTCCCACAATCCCTCATTCCTCTGCTGTGCCACTCTTTGTTTTGTCACGTCATGACTGTTCTGGCTCTTTCTCTCTCCATTAAGTCATCCGCTTTCTCTTTCCTTTCTAGTTCTGGAAGTAAAGATGCAGATCTGAGTGAGGATGACATTAAGACAGTCAGAGCTTCTCTCTGTGGCCTGTTGAAGTATTACATCGGCAAGGGAACCACCCAAGAGGAGATCCAGAGCATTCTGGGATACATCGCTGCCATTGGAGATGAGGAACAGGTGAGAAGAGGATGTTGGTAGACTCAGAGTTTCCTATATAGTATGCATGATTAGGATTAGCGTGTCCCAAATCAGACAGTGCACTACCATTCAAAAGTTTGGGGTTGCAAAGATTTTAAGATTTTTTTTGTGCTGTATCATCACCACTGCAGTGCATTATCTACATACTACGAGTTCACAGAGTATGCATTCATTTAAGTTTAAGTTGCAAGACTAAATTTCAAAGAAATTTGTAAATTATTCAATTTAAAATTCAGAAAATGTTTTCAAGTTGTTCAGTCTAGGTTTTTTAAAAAATTTCTTTAAACGTGTAATTTTGCACATTCCTGATGGTGATTAAGGTAATGTCTGACTCTTTGTCCGAGTGTGTGTGTGTGTGTGTGTCCAGGAAAGAAGCACTCTTCTTTATTGTTATCGATTTGCCCTTTCTAATCAGTAGAGCAAACATCCTCTGTCTTTCTCTATTTTAATTATTACTAAACCTCAATGTGCTTAACCGCAAACTGGATTTACTGCCCTGCCAATTCATTTAATCACTGTCTCTTCCGGTTTCTCCTGCTCATCACTTATTAGCAATAAACATGAACTAAACATGAAATTGAAATCAGTGCCTGTGCTGTTGCAGCTGTGTGGGATCCTGGAGCTGCTGTTGACTCTTCTGCAGACCAGCGCGGCGCGGGACCAGCTCTTCCTTCTGCTGTTTGAACCGGGAGCGGCCGACTCCTGCTACGCTCTGCTGCTCAACAACAAACACTCTGACCGCCTCCGAGAGCTTATCTTCAAGGTGCACTTCATACTCTTTGCAGCTTCTTTAAAGCAACTTCCGTCAGTTAGAGATCTGAAAAATTGACAATTTTAAAGGGGTCATATGATGCTATTTTAAAGATCATAATTTTGTGTATTTGGTGTAACAGAATATGTTGAATCAAAATAAAAAAAAAAAACATTATTTTTCAAAAACTGTACATTATTGTAGGTCCTCTATGCCCCGCCTCTCTCAAACACGTAGTTTTCAACATAGCCCCCTCCTTTGACAAGCCCGAAAGGGCAACAGAGTCGCGTGACAGACACAGTGATGATGCAGTACACAAGCTGCTGTTAAGACAGCTGACGTGCGTGAACAGTTTTGGAGACATTTAGTATTGCATCACTCGCTCACCAATGGATGCTCTGCAGTGAATGGGTGCCGTCAGAATGAGAGTCCAAACAGCTGATAAAAACATCACAATAATCCACAAGTAATCCACACCACTCCAGTCCATCAATTAACGTCTTGGGGAAACTATCTAAATTAATATAGTTTTATATTATATTAATATGATAATTATATTTTCCTTTTTTTATTTTAGTTAAAGTTTATTTTACTTCAAGTAACAAAAATTGTTTTGTGGTTTTAGTTTTAGTTAGCTATAAATAACCCTTATTTTAGAACACCATTCATTGACGGTTCACCAGTGTTGCCAAGTTCGTGGTTTTCCCGCAGAATTGGGCTACTTTATCACTGTTGCCGTGGCTTGTTTTTCATGTCCGCGGGTTAAAGCGACCCCGATAACGTAATATTTAGCCCCGGGAGTGCGAAGTTTACCAGGGGAACCCTGCCAAAAACTTGTTTGTTACCCCTCGGAACACGATTTATAACAGGGAGCCCCCCTTGTAGTGCGATTTGGCTAGTTTTGGGATAGTTTTGAGTAGCAATTGGTTTGTTGTGAATACCTGGCAACCCTGGAGGCCACACTGAATTTTGTGATGGGGAAATGTTTTTCCATAAACCCTCCTTTTTGACCTTTTATGACATCTCTTTGTCCTCTAGATACTGTGGTAAACTATAAAGATCTGATGGCAGTGGTTCAGCTGACCCATAAAGCCGGACCCAGTGTTCGCCTGACTGTATGCAAGAGGGTGAGAGCATTTATCACATTAATACACTACAGATATTAGTATTAACAAAAACAGAAAACTTGCAAAAAAAATTTTTTAAAGAATAGCTCAGAAAGGAAAAGTTTTTCTGTGGAGCACAAAAAGACTTTCTTTTTTCAAAATTATTGCTTTTCCATATAAAAGGATCAAATACACTAAGTACCAAAAAAGAATCACAATGATACACAAGCTATATATTATAAGTCTTCTAAAGCCGAATGATTGCTTTGTGTGAAGAAATGACCACAATTTTAATTGTTTAATTACCTATGTGCATTTTCCTAAAATAAACGTGTTTGCAAAAAAACAACAAAAAAACGGCACTAAGTGAAATAAAATGACATTTCATAAAATGAAATGTTTTCAAGCTATATATATACAGCACTTCTGGTATTTCCTGCAGATGTATGCGCTGCTGCAGTCTCAGCACGATGCAGCGCTGCAGATCTCCAAGCAGACGTGTTGGCAGGGCATACTAATGAGTTTGTTACTGCACTAAGTGAAATAAAATGACATTTCATAAAATGAAATGTTTTCAAGCTATATATATATATACACAGCACTTCTGGTATTTCCTGCAGATGTATGCGCTGCTGCAGTCTCAGCACGATGCAGCGCTGCAGATCTCCAAGCAGACGTGTTGGCAGGGCATACTAATGAGTTTGTTTGTCCGGAGCCCCGGGAGCGACGGAGGTTCTGGTTTGGGCCGTTGTGACGCGGCCAGCCTGGGGAGTTTCGAGCTGAGCCGCAGCAGCGGCGGAAACCGCCTGGAGTCTCCTCTGGAGTGCAGGCCTCTGGGAGACAGCGTGGGGAGGCTGAACGAAGAGCGAGACAGCGCCTCAGACAGCAGGTCCATAGACAGCCTGGACAATGGAGAGCTGATGTCTCTCTCCGAAACACCAGGGGATGCGCCGACACCCAAATCCTGGGGTGGGAAAGCAGGGGTCTTGAGTTTGGACCTGTCCCAGCTGCATCTGTTTGATCACGGGGACAGCGGCAGTCAGACTCCGGGCAGCATGCCGAGCACACCGTCTCCTCTGGAGAACGCAAAGCCCTTCCCCGGAGCTTCCTCTCTGAATGATGACACCTTCCTGTTTAGTGACAATGTGTCCCTTGGAGAGTCTTTTAACAGTGAGGTGAGACAAGAGATGTGATGTGTGTTTCAGTAGAACAGGCAGTGACATTTATCACTTCCTCATATTAATTGTGTTGTCATTTTTCATCCACTACATGTTCTCAACAAAAGTACCTGATAATAAGTACTATAATGAAGGTGTTAATGACAATAAAATATAATTTATTTAAAGCCGTTGTAAAATGCTTATGTCTGCACATAATGTGGCAGGTTGCTACAGGGTGTTTAATTAATTTACTTGCCAGAACAGTATTCTGATTATTAATTTTAATAATATTGAACATTGTTGTGTTTTATCATATTGCTATATTAACATTTTATAAAATCTTTATGAAAACCGTGGTGAAATCGCAGCTTTTGTTGTAAAAAAAAAAGGAAAGATGCAGAGCTTATTCCTTTAGCACATTATAATTACATTGCTGTTGCTTGCTTTTATTCAGCAAGGATGCGTTAAATTGCTCAAAATTGATGTTGAAGACATTTATAATGTTACAAATGATTTGTTTCAAATCGTTTTGAACTTCAAAATATCACATTTCCACAGAAATATGAAGCAGCACAACTGCTTTCAATATTAATAATAATTTCACAGTGTTGCTGTTTTTACTGTAATTTTTGATCACCCTTGGTGAGCATATGGGACTTATTTCATAACCATTGAAAAATCTTCGAACCCTAAACTGTTGAAAGGTAGTGTATAGCCTTAAATATAATTGTGGAGAAGTGATGGACTTACAGTAAGTAGGTGTTGAAAGTCTTTATTAACCTTTTAAAAAATGTCTAATTAAATATGAAAAAATATAGTTTCCACAAAAATACTATTATTATCCAGAGCCAATGTCTAATTTTTTGCAGTCAGTCTTATTGAAGTGATTTATTGATTTAAGCCTCTGTCTTGTCGCCCAGCAGGCAGAGGAGGAGTTGGCACGTCTGCTGTTGGAGATGGTGTTGTGTGTCATGTGGAGAGGGGTGGAGGGGTCAGATGACACCGCCTGGCTGGAGAGAGGTCAAGTGTTCTCCACTCTCACCAAACTGGGCACTGCTAACGAGCTGCTGCTGCCCGTCGACCACATCAAACTCAGGTCAGACTACATCTCAAGTGTGTTCTCCACGATGGATTATTCAAACATGCATTAAATAATAAAGTAAAATATAATGAATATATAATATAGTGCATATATTTATTAAAATATTCATCTCTAGAGTTAATTTTGCCTCAAGTTATGGTCATTGAATGGCTTTTCTGAGATAAATGTAATATTACGTGACATTGTTTACAAGCTGTTTTATTGTTGTCTTTGCGGTTGAAACACTGATTGAGTGATTACATGAGACATGATACTTTTCAGTAAGTTGTACTGAATCTTTCAGCATAACTTATGTTTATTCATGTTTTTTTCTTGCTATAACTAGAAGTAAATAGGAAAAGATGGTCAGTTCATGTGCCGGTTGAACTGATGCGGATACAGCAATCTATTGTTTGAATTTTGCTCCAAAGCTGAAAGATTTTGAAAGCTGAGACATAGTTTCAGATCAAAAGTAACAAAGCACAAAGCTTATTGTGATTATTCAATGGTAGACAATGTTTAGTGAAATTTTGTTCACGCATAAACTGAAAACAGCATAGACCAAATGATATGGTTCATCCAAGTGAGCGTGGATTGAAAACAAAAAATCAATATTGTTAACCCAGTCGTAGCATCCACACAGCTGACATGTTCACCTGTTGTAGCTTTTCCACATTGTATACACAAAATAGACACTGACACAGTCAAAACGTGGCATTGTAAACGTGCTAATTAAATGTCACCAAAACTGTCGACCAAAAGTATTTTTGCTTGCTGATATTTGAGCACTGAGTTGATCTGAACAGCTAGTTGTTCATGCATTTCCTAATGTCTTTCTCCACAGTCTGATGGAGAGGATGTTGGAATTGGCCGTAACGGACAACCGAGAGGCGACAACGGCCACGCTGCCGCAGCACACGGAGAATGCGGTGCGTCTTCTGCACATGGTGCAGGACTTCCTGCAGGCTGAGGGGCTGGTGAATCCCGCTCTGTGGACTGAGAAGGTTCTGGAGGAGACGGTGACTCTGATGGACGGGCTGATGGTGTGGTACGCCTCTGGCATGCAGTGGCTTCAGCTGTCTCAGGTGGGGCTACGGCTGCTGCTTTGAGTGATTACATGAGACATGATACTTTTCAGTAAGTTGTACTGAATCTTTCAGCATAACTTATGTTTATTCATGTTTTTTTCTTGCTATAACTAGAAGTAAATAGGAAAAGATGGTCAGTTCATGTGCCGGTTGAACTGATGCGGATACAGCAATCTATTGTTTGAATTTTGCTCCAAAGCTGAAAGATTTTGAAAGCTGAGACATAGTTTCAGATCAAAAGTAACAAAGCACAAAGCTTATTGTGATTATTCAATGGTAGACAATGTTTAGTGAAATTTTGTTCACGCATAAACTGAAAACAGCATAGACCAAATGATATGGTTCATCCAAGTGAGCGTGGATTGAAAACAAAAAATCAATATTGTTAACCCAGTCGTAGCATCCACACAGCTGACATGTTCACCTGTTGTAGCTTTTCCACATTGTATACACAAAATAGACACTGACACAGTCAAAACGTGGCATTGTAAACGTGCTAATTAAATGTCACCAAAACTGTCGACCAAAAGTATTTTTGCTTGCTGATATTTGAGCACTCAGAATTGATCTGAACAGCTAGTTGTTCATGCATTTGCTAATGTCTTTCTCCACAGTCTGATGGAGAGGATGTTGGAATTGGCCGTAACGGACAACCGAGAGGCGACAACGGCCACGCTGCCGCAGCACACGGAGAATGCGGTGCGTCTTCTGCACATGGTGCAGGACTTCCTGCAGGCTGAGGGGCTGGTGAATCCCGCTCTGTGGACTGAGAAGGTTCTGGAGGAGACGGTGACTCTGATGGACGGGCTGATGGTGTGGTACGCCTCCGGGACGCAGTGGCTTCAGCTGTCTCAGGTGGGGCTACGGCTGCTGCTCGGGTTCATGGCACAAGAAGACCCACAGGTGAGAGGTCATACTAGGTCATATTAGGGATGCATTTTTCATATACAGTACCTTTTGGGGCCAGTTTCAGCAAGGGTGCATTAAATTGATCAAAAGTGACAGTAAAGTCATTTATAATGTTACAAATGTCTGCTATTTTAAATAAATGTTGTTCTTTCTATTCATCAAAGAATCTTAAAAAAAATAATATCTTGTAGTTTCCACAAAGATATACAGCAGCACAACTGTTTTCAACATTAATAATAATCAGAAATGTTTCTTGAGCAGCAAATCAGCATATTAGAATGATTTCTGAAGGATCATGTGACACTGAAGACTGGAGTAATGATGCTGAAAATTCAGCTGCGCATCACAGGAATAAATTACATTTTAAATATATATTCAAATTAGTGCTGTCAAATGATTAAATTAAAGTTTTTGTTTACATAACATATTTTTCTGAAATACATACATGCATGTGTGTGTATTTATATATACATAATAAATATACACAGTACACACATACATATATTATGCAAACAAAAACTTTTATTTTGGATGCGATTAATCGTTTGACAGTTATTTTAAGTTGTAATAATATTTTACAATATTACTGTTTTCACTATAAAACGGTATTGTTTTTTGATCAAATAAATGCAGCCTTGGGCTACATCCACACGAAGCCAGAGCTTTCCCTATCCAATCTTTTTTTTTCTTCTTTCCCTCGTCTCAAGAAATATCTGCGTCCACACGAAACCACGAAACCGACACAAAACGATGTAGTATACATGCCAGACCAGTATGTGGCGCTGTAATTCTGCCACAGAGATACAGTAAAAATGGAGAAGACGACTTGGACTGTGCGCATAAACCTTGCGCGCGGTATACAAACAAACATGGAACAATACATTTATTAATCTATGTTAATGTTAGTTAATAAAAAGACAATCATTCGGAGTTTGTTCATGTTTTTGTTGCTGTTACGTGACGTAGCGGTGTCTGACTAGGGGCGAGAAGTGGGCTGATGACGTCATAGTTTCAGAAAATATACGGATTCGCTGTCCACACGAAAACGCAAGGGTTTCACTCTCCCAATACGCCGGATCCGTGTGGACGAAACGCCTATACGATACAAAATTTATGCGTATACAGCTAAACGCGTCTCCGTGTGGGCCGGGCTTGGCGAGCATTCTTTTTAAAAACATTAAGAAAATCTTACCAACGCAAAACTTTTGAACTAATACTCATAAACATGCTACAAAACCAATATTTATAAATCTTTTTTTTTATTCACATTGTTCCTCGTTCTGGCAGGTGTGTGCCATGGCTACGGCCAAACTGAATGGCATCTTGCAAACGAAGACGGTGGACTCTCAGGACGAGGCTTGTTATCTTCTGGGCCGTGTGGAGGGAATCCTCAGGCGCTCTGTGAGCGAGGAGCGGACAGAGGAGACCTATTCATTTTTAGTGCCTCTCCTCCGTACCCTCCTGTCTAAAGTCCACAAACTCCTGTACATGGAGCTACACCTCCCTTCCCTCCCCGACACCAATGGAAGCCCGTCTTTCTTTGAGGACTTCCAGCTGTACTGCAGCTCTCCGGAGTGGAGGGTCTATTTGGATAAATATGTAAGACCTGTATTAATACACTAAATGGGGACAATTGTGATTTTAAGCTGGATGAAGTCTCAGAAGTATTTCTGATAGGTTTAACTAATAATACATAGTAGTAATTGGTTGTTTCTGCTCTTCATTGCACCCAGTAGTTTGCAAATCTGAATTTTGTGCATCTGTTTTGTCAGATCATCCCCTACATGAAGCAATATGAGATCGAGACATTCAGTCAGGGTCATGAGAACATGGCTCTCTACTGGAAGGACTGTTATGAGGCGTTCATGCTCAATCTGCACCGCAGGGACCGAGAGAGAGGAGAGAGCAAGATACGCTTTAAGGTACAAAACATGCATTAAATTGATCAAAAGTGACAGTAAAGTCATTTATAATGTTACAAATGTCTGCTATTTTAAATAAATGTTGTTCTTTCTATTCATCAAAGAATCTTAAAAAAAATAATATCTTGTAGTTTCCACAAAGATATACAGCAGCACAACTGTTTTCAACATTAATAATAATCAGAAATGTTTCTTGAGCAGCAAATCAGCATATTAGAATGATTTCTGAAGGATCATGTGACACTGAAGACTGGAGTAATGATGCTGAAAATTCAGCTGCGCATCACAGGAATAAATTACATTTTAAATATATATTCAAATTAGTGCTGTCAAATGATTAAATTAAAGTTTTTGTTTACATAACATATTTTTCTGAAATACATACATGCATGTGTGTGTATTTATATATACATAATAAATATACACAGTACACACATACATATATTATGCAAACAAAAACTTTTATTTTGGATGCGATTAATCGTTTGACAGTTATTTTAAGTTGTAATAATATTTTACAATATTACTGTTTTCACTATAAAACGGTATTGTTTTTTGATCAAATAAATGCAGCCTTGGGCTACATCCACACGAAGCCAGAGCTTTCCCTATCCAATCTTTTTTTTTCTTCTTTCCCTCGTCTCAAGAAATATCTGCGTCCACACGAAACCACGAAACCGACACAAAACGATGTAGTATACATGCCAGACCAGTATGTGGCGCTGTAATTCTGCCACAGAGATACAGTAAAAATGGAGAAGACGACTTGGACTGTGCGCATAAACCTTGCGCGCGGTATACAAACAAACATGGAACAATACATTTATTAATCTATGTTAATGTTAGTTAATAAAAAGACAATCATTCGGAGTTTGTTCATGTTTTTGTTGCTGTTACGTGACGTAGCGGTGTCTGACTAGGGGCGAGAAGTGGGCTGATGACGTCATAGTTTCAGAAAATATACGGATTCGCTGTCCACACGAAAACGCAAGGGTTTCACTCTCCCAATACGCCGGATCCGTGTGGACGAAACGCCTATACGATACAAAATTTATGCGTATACAGCTAAACGCGTCTCCGTGTGGGCCGGGCTTGGCGAGCATTCTTTTTAAAAACATTAAGAAAATCTTACCAACGCAAAACTTTTGAACTAATACTCATAAACATGCTACAAAACCAATATTTATAAATCTTTTTTTTTATTCACATTGTTCCTCGTTCTGGCAGGTGTGTGCCATGGCTACGGCCAAACTGAATGGCATCTTGCAAACGAAGACGGTGGACTCTCAGGACGAGGCTTGTTATCTTCTGGGCCGTGTGGAGGGAATCCTCAGGCGCTCTGTGAGCGAGGAGCGGACAGAGGAGACCTATTCATTTTTAGTGCCTCTCCTCCGTACCCTCCTGTCTAAAGTCCACAAACTCCTGTACATGGAGCTACACCTCCCTTCCCTCCCCGACACCAATGGAAGCCCGTCTTTCTTTGAGGACTTCCAGCTGTACTGCAGCTCTCCGGAGTGGAGGGTCTATTTGGATAAATATGTAAGACCTGTATTAATACACTAAATGGGGACAATTGTGATTTTAAGCTGGATGAAGTCTCAGAAGTATTTCTGATAGGTTTAACTAATAATACATAGTAGTAATTGGTTGTTTCTGCTCTTCATTGCACCCAGTAGTTTGCAAATCTGAATTTTGTGCATCTGTTTTGTCAGATCATCCCCTACATGAAGCAATATGAGATCGAGACATTCAGTCAGGGTCATGAGAACATGGCTCTCTACTGGAAGGACTGTTATGAGGCGTTCATGCTCAATCTGCACCGCAGGGACCGAGAGAGAGGAGAGAGCAAGATACGCTTTAAGGTACAAAACATCCTCACACACTACTGCTCAAAAGTTTGGGGTCAGTGAGATTAATAAGAAATGAATACTTTTATTCAACAAGGATGCATTAATTTGATCAAAAGTGACAGTAAAGACATTTATAAAGTTCAGTTTCAAACTAATGCTGTTCTTTTGAACTTTCTATTTATCATAGAATCCTGAAAAAATGTGTCACGTTTTGCTCAAAAATGTGAAGCAGCATAACTGTTTTCAGCATTGATGATAATCAGAAATGTTTCTTGAGCAGCAAATCAGCATATTAGAATGATTTCTGAAGATCATGTGACACTGAAGACTGGAGTAATGATGCTGAAAATTCAGCTGCGCATCACAGGAATAAATTACATCTTAAAATATATTCAGATAGAAAACAAATATGTGAAATTGTAATCATATTTGACAATATCACTGTATTTTATATCAAATAAATGAAGCCTTTGTGAGCATAAGACACTTTAAAAACATTGAAACGTTATTTCAAAAACTTTTGTACTGCAGTGTGTAGAATTTTCCTTCAAATTCACAAACATTTTCATGTCTCTCAAAAACCCTCAGGAGCAGTTTGTGGAACCGTTCAGTCGTCGAGGGCGTCAGGAGAACCTGAGGTACAACAGCATGCTGAAACAAATCCACACGCAGAACAGCGGCATCCTCAGGCAGTGGAGGGCGGCACGCAGAGGACTGTTCTGTGAGAGAGGACCCTGGGTGGACAAGTGAGCGATGTTTCTGTCTGTAAATGTCACTGAGACCAGGAGTGGAGAATGTTTGTACAGTGGAGGTGTTTAAGTGTAAAGAGGTTTTTGACTTTTAGATTAAAATCGGTTCTTTTTGCTAAAGAATAGAGATGTATGCATTTATATGACAATAATGCAATCCAATGTGTTTTTGCCAGGATGTAACAAAATAAAAGCTATTGGCTATTTAAAAAAAAAAAAAAAGGTTTTAAGGCAGCTATTTGTGTTTGGCAGGCAGCAGAAGGACATACACTGGAAGCTCTCTAGCGCTGAAAACTACTCCCGTATGCGACTCAAACTGGTGCGGAATTACAACTGTGACCCCCATAAAGAAGCCAGTGCCTTGAGAGATAACCTAGGTAAGACCTTTCACTTACAATCTTTTATGAATCATGTGCTGGGCAGTTTAGGAAGTAAGTGGTTGTGTGTGTGTGTGTGTTACTTCAGGTGTGCAGCACCAGCAGGTAAACGCAGAGTCACTGTTGTTAGAGGCGGTGAAACAGGTGAAGGTCAGTGATCTGGAGGATGACATCCTGGAACTCCTGGAGGAGGATCCTGCTTCGGCCAATCAGTGAGTCTCAGTTTAGATGGACAGGAGCAGTAGCCAATCACTGGAGCTAAATACAGAAACACACTTTTACTCCATAACAGGAGTTATGAGTATAAAAACGTGTCAATTCTTTAAAACACCTTGAATAATGTTCTTTTATCTTTTAAATGTAAATGTAGATTTTAGTTAAAAGATTTGATAAAAAGATTTACGCCTTTATGGCTAACATGATGTTAACATGTTATGGTGTTTTTTTCTGCATTATCAATTTTCATGTACAATACTGTTAAAGAGTTTGGGTCAGTAAGATTTTATTGTTTTGAAAGAAGTCTCTTATGCTCACCAAGGCTGCATTTACTTGATCAAAGCTACATTAAAAACAGTAATAATGTGAAATATTACAATTTAAAGTAACTGTTTTCTATGTTAATAGTTTTTAAAATGCAATTTATTCCTGCTGAATTTTCAGCATCATTACTCCAGTCTTCAGCGTCACATGATCTTCAGAAATCATTCTAATATGCTGATTTGCTGCTCAAGAAACATTTATTATTATTATCAATGTTGAAACAGTTGTGCTGCTTCATATTTTTGTGTAAACCATGATTTTTCAAGATTCTTTGATGAATAGAAAGTTCAAAAGATCAGCATTTCTCTGAAATATTTTTTTGTAAAATGATAAATCTCATTGCTGCTGATCATTTTAATGCATCTTCACTGAATAAAAGTATTCACTGTGCATGTAAACACACTCGCTGTGGTTCTCTAAGGGCTGATAGTGAAGAGGCGGGTCAGAAGGAGAAGCTGGTGATCTCAGAGGACTGTGAGCTGGTCACGGTGGTTGACGTCTATCCGGGTCGCCTGGAGCTCACCACACAACACATCTACTTCTACGACAGCAGCGCAGAGAAAGAGGAAGGTGAGGTACAGAGGAATATCCAGCAGTGTGAAGGCCGTATGTATGAGGATAGAGATGAGACTGATGCTCTGCATTTTCAGGTGTAGGTCAGGACTTCAAATGGCCTCTGTCTCAGATCAGAGAGATTCACCTGCGCAGGTACAACCTCCGGCGCTCGGCTCTGGAGATCTTTCTCATCGACCAGACCAACTACTTCCTGAACTTCAAGAAGGAGGTGGGGAATCTTTCAGCAAGATGTTTCTCATCTTTTTTTCTCTCTGTCCTACATGAACATAATTGTAACACAGTTCGTAGTTCGGGAAGGAGGAGGCGGGAACCGGCGAACGTTCAAACAAAACTTTAATAATAAAATAAACACAAAATAGCGCGACAGCCCCTCGTGGACGACTGTCGCACACAAACAGAACCAAAACACAAAATCAAATCCAGGCCTGGTCCTCTCTCGTCTTTCATTGTCGTAGCTCCTCCTTTTATCCTTCCGGAGCTCCTCCGTGGGACTCGAGACCGGTGAGTGGTGCAGGTGTCGCTCATATTTACTCCACCGGCCTCGCTCAGTTCCCACAGCTCTCGGCCCCGCCCCCACTCGTGACAGTAATGAGCTGATATTTGGTTTTTGTTTTGTTGTACATGTAACCACACTCATTGGGTCTCATTCACTAGGAAATAATCATATTATGCACACAGGAGAACTTCTCGTGAAAATGTTCTGCTTAATTTACAATTGCTTTTCTTTCTCTTTTGTAATTCGCTTTGGATAAAAGCGTATGCTAAATGCATAAATGTACAGTAAATGTACATGAATTAGTTTTTGACCTCATTCAAATGCTAATAATTTGGAATTTTCTTGGAGTATTCTAAATGCATGTAGTTTCAGTTATTCCTATATTTTTTGTAAATTTAGAATACCTTTTTGTGTGAAACATTATTGATCAATCAGCTGTTTTAAATGTCTATAGTTTTCGTTAATTTTTATTTCAGTTTTAGTTTAAATACATCAAAATAAACTAAATGAAAACGATGATGCCGTGGCAACTAGCTGAAATAAAATATATATATTTTTTATTTTATATTTTATTTTAAGTAACAAAAATGGTTGACTTGTTTAGTCTGATTTTGCCAGAATTTTTTTTTTTTTACCATGTTAATTGGAAAAAAAAAAATCTTGTATAATTTTAACTGCTGTTTTTGTGTTTGCTTGGTTTTTATTTTATTTATGTACCTCTTGTATTATTCAAACTCAATTTTTGCCATGAAGATAGCCTTAGATGCTGACATGGCAATAAAAATAAATAACTACTAGTACTACTAAAAAAATAGTTTTATGCTTTTAGCTTTAGTTAACTATGATAACCCTAGATTTCACATGCAAATGTGTGCGTATACACAGTTAGTGAATGAGACCGTTGCTATTTGTTAACTTTCCCTTCTTTTGTGTAGTCTCTCATGATTGGTTGATTCTGTTTGATTGACAGGTGCGTAATAAAGTCTACAGTCGGATGCTGCTGCTGCGTTCTCTTTCTCTTCATGCCACTCACTCACCGCAGGAGCTGCTCAAAGCCTCTGGACTCACACAGGTCACTGCACACATGAAGCATCTCTGTTTCATATAGTACATCACTGAAGGTTCAGAGCTGACTTTACCTTCTCTCTGTCATCAGAAATGGGTGAACAGGGAGATCTCAAACTTTGACTACCTAGATAAATTAACAGTGAATTTTCCTTTGGTGATTCAGAAGACGAGCCTTCTTTTAAGTAAACTTTGAGTTTTAAATGTATGCAGGTTCTCATCTAGTTCATATTTTAGTGTTTGACAAGCTACAAAAAGGTTTTCTCTTTTTCTGTTGTTGTTTTTTTCAATCTGGTTCTTTACTGTTTTTCAGAGTTGGTTTTTGGCACATTGCATAGAAACCAATGGGGGGAGTCAATATGACCCCAACAAATTATACAGCCTTTCTAAAACACATCTGTGTCAAAACCTTGCAAGCACGTTCATGAGCATAAATCAGCAATATTCGCAAAATTTCAAGTAACCAGTGTTTCATTGTGTCTCATTCTCTCTCTAATTGGTGTAGGATTTGACCTGGGTCGCTTGCAGATCTCTAAAGAGAGGGTAAATGATGTCATCCTGCCAAAATGGGCCAAATCCCCCGAGGACTTCATCTACAAGCACCGCAAAGCCCTGGTGAGCCCTTTTCTGAGGACCTCTTCACAGCTCTTCCCCACTACAGTACTTTAGTAGTACTAAAGTTACTAAAACTAAATCTGAAATAAAATAAAAACAGTTTATTTCAGTAGTTAAATATTGTGGTAAATAACTGGTGTTTTATTGTAAAATAAAAATATTGCTTTTAGTAGACATTATTTGTTAATTGAAATAAAGCTGAAATAAATATTAAATGAAAATGCGAACTTAAAAAAAAAAAAAAAAAAAAAAAAAAAAAAAAAAAAAAAAAAAAAAATGTTTTTTTAGAAGAGCCAATTACAAAAAAAAAAAAAAAAAAAAAAAAAAAAAAAAGAAAAAAGTGAAATGTTGCTTTAGCAGTACTAGTACTAAAATTTCTAAAAGTAAATCTGAATTAAAGCTAAATGGAAAAAAGAACAGAAAACCACATAACAAAATTACTTAAACTCAAACAAAAAATATAAAAATAAACTTTTATAAATAAATATTATACTAATATATTTATATTAAATATTTATAAACACTATAATAATAAGCTGCAGCCTTGAACCTGACAACTAATTTCATACATAGCTGTGCTAGTTTTTTCTGATCTCCATTTGTTCTTACATAATGACAATTTCTACTCATATCAGTATTTTATGTCTACTATTTATTTATTTCATAAGTAGCCATGTAAAAAACAGTATAATAATGTCTCAGCCAATCATTATCACAAAAACTGAGCCTTTCAGGCTTATAGAAGACTTCTCTTTCATATCAAGGTGAGTCTTCTTCACCCTGTTGGGGTTTATTTTGAGTTCATGACTGGCTGACTCTACATTATCACTTGTGTTTATGGTGCAAATAGTTTTTATCTCCATTTAAATGCAGCAAAATGAAACTGTCTGTGGTTGTTTTAGGGGCTGTTGATCTGGACGCCATTACAGATGAGAAGGAGAGGAAGGCTGTAGAAGGCATGATCAGTAACTTTGGACAGACCCCGTGCCAGTTACTGAAGGTGCTTCTGCACACACACGGACAGTGTTCTCTTGAATGGAGATCATAAGATGACATAAACATGAGAGAGTTTGTTGTTTGATAAGATGTTATGTGTTAATGTGCATTTAGGAGCCCCATCCCGTGCGTCTCTCTCTGGAGGAGCTGGAGAAGAGGAGATCTCGTCTGGACTCCTGTCCTCTCAATATATTCGAGCACCTCACTGAACTCAAATCCTTCTTCATTGAGGTGACTGAATTAGCAGTGCTTTATGTGTTTGTCCAGATGTTGTTCTGTGGACTGATGAAGTTTCATCTCTGTGTTTTAGGGCATCAGTGATAATGTGCCACTGGTTAAAGCCGTTGTCCCCAAGAACCAGTCACATTCTTTTATCTCACAGGGGAGTCCAGATACTCTGGTAAGTCTGGGCTTGATTAGTCAATAGACCCAGAATCAGAATAGACCCTATTATTATTATTTTTTAATTTAAATTAATGTCCCTAATCTTGTTGCGCACAATCAATTGGTGCACATTGTGATTTATTATATAAAATAATAATATTTATATACTGTAAACACAACCATAACGTATATAAAATTATTTGTACTCATAATTTTAAAGGAATATATATATCATTATTATTATTATTTATTTTTTTGGTAAGAAGCCATGTAATAAGTGAGACAATACACATTACTGATCACTCAGGATTTTTATTAATATCCCTGGGCATAATTAATCAATGCACATTGTAATAAATTATATAAAATAATGTTTAAAAAATATTATATATATATATATATATATATATATATTATATGTGTGTGTGTGTGTGTATATATATTATTATATTTTTTTATTTTCTATTTATTTATTTTTTTTACTCTTTTTAAAGAAATAATTATAAATTAATTATTATAATTGCATTTAATTATTTTATAAGCACCCATGTGATGTCCTTTGTCCTATTGTGCACAATTAATAAGTACACAGTATAATAAAATATATAAATAGAAAATTATAGAAAATAATATTTATTTAAATTTAAAATCTATAAAATAATTTTGACTCAAATAATTTTCAATTAATAAATTAAATATAATTATTTTTGAGATTTATTTATTTGGTAAGCAGCCATTTAATATTTATATAAATCTAAAATATATAACATGATTTTGTTTATTTTACAATAATAGCATGGCTATGCATAATTCCTAAATTACAAATAAATGCATTACAAAAACCATTCTACATTGTCTTTAATGCCCTCTGAGGTTTCTGGCTGTTATGAAATATTTGATACTCTCATATATAATGCATTATCAATTGGGTTATCAAGGTAACGCTGAGCCAGAACGGCTTGATGGGAACTCACGGCTGGCTGCCCTATGACAAGAACATATCCAACTATTTCACCTTCATCAAAGACCCCACCGTAGCCGGTGTAAAGTGAGTCTCTCTGACGTCTAACATCTTCCTGTTTATAGCTGCCCTGCACTTCCTTTAACATAACCAACACATCCACAATCACACACTCTCTCTCTGTAGGACTCAGAGGTGTCTAGCAGGGCCGTTCTCTCCAGGGGTTGAAGTCACAGCTCACCTGTTTGTTGTGTCTCATGACGGGAAGTTGCTCTTCAGTGGAGGCCACTGGGACAACAGCCTGAGAGTGACGTCACTCGTCAAGGGCAAAACAGTGGGGCAGCACATCCGCCACATGGGTACTGGAAACGGCCTTTTTTCCGCTTCTTTCTTTCTCATGAATAGGCACATCCAGATTGTACTGTATGTTCTAACTTTAACCTTGAACTGCAGGAAACAAATCTGCTAACTTTGGAAATGTGTGTGTGTGTGTGTGTGTGTGTCTTTTTTTCAGACATTGTAACATGCCTGGCCACAGATCACTTTGGGATTCACCTGATCTCTGGCTCTAGAGACACCACCTGTATGGTGTGGCAGGTGCTACAGCAGGTATGTTCTGATCTCTTGGAAAAGTCACATGATCTGTCGTCTTCAAATGACTTCCTATAGATAGTTCATTCCTAAATATGAAGCATTTTATTGTACCAATCAGGTGTTTATTGTATATACACTACTGTTCAAAAAATGTGGTTAAAATGTTTTTGAAAGTGTCTCCTGCTCACCAAGGCTGCATTGATACAGTAAAAACAGTAATATTATGAAATATCATTACAATTTAAAATAACAGTTTTTTATTTAAATATATTGTAAAATGTAATTTATTTCTGTGATCAAAGCTGAATTTTCAGCATCATTACTCCAGTCTCCAGTGTCACATGATCTTCAGAAATCATTCTAATATGCTGATTTACTGCTCAAGAAACATTTCTGATTATTATCAATGTTGAAAACTGCTGCTTCATATTTTTGTAGAAGCTGTGATTCATATTTTTCAGGATTCTTCGAATTAAAAATTGAAAGATTAAAATTCAAGATAGTGATATTTAAAGATAGAGATTTTTTTTTTATAATAGCATAATTAATATAACATAGGGATGAATTTTAAATAATAGTGAGTGGATCTTATAACACAAACTGGGAATTTTACAAGAAACATTTCAGGAGCTTCTTCCTTAATTTAACATTCTTAGGAATTTTGTTTTAATTGGTAATGTTCTTTTGAAAACTACCACATCACTTGTGTTAAATAATATAATGAATCACCTCTTTTTAGGTAACACTGTATTTTAAGGACTTGCTATTTACTTGTTGCTTATTAGCATGCATATCACTAGCATATTGGCTGTTTATTAGTACTTATAAACCACATATTAATGTCTTATTCTGCATGAGCATATTTTAGATCCCTTAAACCTACCCCAATCCTAAACTTAACAACTACCTTACTAACTATTAATAAGCAGCAAATCGGGAGTTTATTGAGGCAAAAGTCACAGTTAATAGTGAATGTGTTCTTTATTCTAAAGTGTTTCCGGTTTTTATTTCTGCTGCAGTGTTGGGAGTCTGTTTAACTTATTCTGTTTTTGTAGGGTGGTGCTCCGGTGGGTCTGTCTCATAAGCCGGTGCAGGTGTTGTACGGACACACAGATGAAGTTGTGAGTGTGTCTATCAGTACAGAGCTGGACATGGCGGTCTCTGGATCACGGGTGAGACTCGACTCTCTCACAATCTATTTCTCACACTTGTTCAGTATTAAGCAACCTGACAGTGGCATTGTGCCTCATTTCAAATTAAAAAGGTTAGCCAATAATAATATAGCTCATTTATATATAGCATTCTTAAAGGGTTCAAAGTTGTTTGGGTGGATTTCAGGGAAGAAAACGGTGATACAAGAATGTAATCAGCAGCTTGTGTGTGTCACAGGATGGGACGGTGATCATTCACACTGTTCGGAGGGGTCAGTACATGCGCTCTCTGCGGCCGCCGTGTGAGAGCTCTCTGCCCGTGTCCATCATGCACCTGGCTGTGTCCTGGGAGGGACAGCTAGTGGTACACACCTGCGTAGAGGGCAAAGCCACACTGAAGGTATCAAACACACAGTTCAGTTCCCCTTCTCCACTCACGTTCCTGTGCCCGTGTAAACCGACCGTCTTTGTGTTTTGTGTGTGTTCAGGATAAGAACGCCCTGCACCTGTACTCTGTGAACGGCAAGCACCTGTGCAGCGCTCCTCTGAAGGAGCAGGTGACAGACATGTGTGCTTCAGGAGAGCATGTCATCATCGGCAGCGAGCAGGGTTTCCTGTCTGTCCGAGATCTCTACAGGTAAACCCGCTGCTTTTCCGTATTATAACAAAAATAATAAAAAAAAAGACACTTGCATTGAAGGAGGAATCATATCTAGAGAGCCGAGTATCAGTAATACTATACAATGCAACGGGGCCACTTTTTCAGCGGCCTTGATTCTGGAAGTGTTTTTTCCATTTATTTTTACCATTGGGATTAAAAAAAAGTCTTTTAAAATTTTAAACTATGAAATAAATCAACCAGCTACAAGGTGAATCACATTACCAACTTTGATTTTAAGCAAACACGCATTTGAAAATCAGAGACTGATATTAACGGCTTTAGTGTGGGAAAGAAAAAAATTTATTTATTTATTTATTGCGAAATATATAGATGTATAAGAGCATTGGAGGAAGGAGGGAAATGGGTGGGCACTAAAGAGTTTTTCTTTCCGCAATTAGCTTGTTGCGATGTTTATTACATATATACAAACAATATCTTCTCTATTTATAAAATATGTAAATACACACAAATATTTAAGTAGTCTGAGAACATTGGAGACTGACTCTATTTAGTCATTTGCAGTGCTTATGGTAGTGAGTTGATGGTAAAGTGTTCTTTTGGCATGATTATTTTATCACAATTCTCTGATGTTGATTATGTACATAGAAACAATATTTTTAATGTTTATTGCAAAATATGCACATGCATACAAATATTTAAGTAGTTTGAAAGCACAGGAGACGGACTCTGCACCATTCTCAGTGCTTCATGGGAGTGGTTGGGCACTAAAGATTTTTGACGTGATTTGCTTGTCATGATTCTCTGATTTCTTGGCAGAATAAGAATCTCACCAGGAATTCTACTGTTAAACACCATTATTTAAAAAATAAGTTGCAAAAGTAACAAAAGCATTTACCATCAATTAACAGCTCGTAGTCAGTCTGTCTTTAATGGATTAAGTTATTGTTAAAAGTCAATTACTGTAAATTAATGGGATTTTTACTTCCGGAATTCGACTGTTGCACTCGATTAAAGGGATAGTTCACCCAAAAATGAAAATTCTGTCATCATTTACTCACACTCAAATTGTTTAAATGGTTAGTTCACCCAAAAATGGAAATTAGCCCATTATTTACTCACCCTCAAGCCATCCTAGGCGTATTTGACTTCCTTCTTTCAGACGAATCCAGTCGGAGTTCTATTAAAAATTGAGTTTGATCCTCCACGCTGTTTAATGGCAGTCTATGAACCATCACTTTAAAATCTGTATGAATTTATTTATAAAAATTTTTTTTTGCTGAGCACAAAAGAAGATATTTTGAAGAATGTTGGTAATGGAAAAAGTACGATGGATGTCAATGGGGATCTGAAACTGTTTGGTTACCAACATTCTTCAAAATATCTTATTTTGTATTCAACAAAAAAAAGAAAGTTATACAGGTTTGGACAAAACTTGAGGGTGAGTGAATGATGACAGACTTTTTCCATTTTTGAGTGAACTGTCCCTTTAAGGATGCCTAAGGATTTTTATCATTGCATTTTATGATGTTGTCGTCAGATTGTAAGCGTGAAGTTCTATTCCTTGAACTTGATCCTAACACGCCCTCTCTCTTGGTTACCATGGCAGCCTGGCTCTGTGTGTGTCGCCGACGGCGATGCGGGTGCCCATCCGCTGTGTGTCTGTGACCAAGGAGCAGTCTCACGCTCTGGTGGGACTTGATGACGGCAAGCTGATCGTGGTGGGCGTGGGCAAACCTGCGGAGGTAAAAAACTCCTTCAGGAACTACATCACCCTAAAATGATGCTAACACAATGATTCAAATCTTCCTGAATGCCAGTGGCTTTAGTTCTATATGAGTTTATTATTGACTAATGCATTGGCTCTGTTTGTGTGTTGGTTTGAAATTGTATTAGCTGAAATGCTTGTACATGGTTATCCTAGTAATCAATCACTTGTTATCAGCAATTGTATCTATTATACAGCTGTACTAATTTTGTACTAAAAGACTTTAGTTGTGTGCTTTATTCCCACATTAGAATTTTTATGCATGTAGCTGACATGAAATACTTTATGCTGTGATTAGTCTAAAACTGTTTTGGAAAGACTTTTTAATAAACCGATTTATGTAAGTGCTTATATTTTGTAACTCATATTAATAGAGACTGCATGGAATATTTCTACCTAAAAATACTTTGAACCAAAACCAGTAGTTTTAGCTCTTGCATATTTAAGTAAAAAAAGCTTCAAACGTTTGAAGATGATTATTAAAATGTTTTTGAAAGAAGTCAAAAATACAAATTTTGCTGTAAAGATGTTGTCATTTGAGCGTCAATGGACAGATCTGCACCATCTTCATGTGTGGCTGAAGATCATTCGGTTCAATGTAATTGAAGTGTATCTGTCTGTCCTGCAGATGTGATGCTGACCCTTCTGCTCTTGCGAAATATGTGGTTGCCTTGGTGAAGAAAGAAAAATCCGAGGAGCAGCTGAAAGCACTATGCATTGACCAGTTGGATGTATTTCTTCAGAAAGGTATAATTCAACTCTATTAATGATCTGAATATATGCAGTTTTGTAAAGTAATTTTTTTTTCAAACCAGGTGAAGACCCCTAACTAGTAGGTTCATTGCATAACAACTGCTTCAATTCCATGTCGCTTCCAAGACAGACAGTGTATATATATATATATATATATATATATATATATATACTTACTCTGTCAGAACTGAGTCTCTGAAGCTGTTAACATACGTTTGCTTTTGCTATCAGAGACGCAGGTATTTGTGGACAAACTGTTTGAAGCTGTGAACGCAAAGAGTTACCTACCTCAACCGGAGCAGCCGACTTCTGCGAGCAGAACTGAAACTCACCAGCGCACAGAGAAAGATGAAACCAAGAGAGAGGAGGTAACACAAAACAATCACATAAGATCAGCATTTTAAATTATCCTACACTACCGTTTAAAAATTTGCTGTCAGTATTAATATATTAATAAAGAAATGAATACTCTTATTCAGCTAGTGCACATTAAATTGATCAAAAGTGACAGTGAAGACATTTATAATGCTAGAAAAGACTTATATTTCAAATAAATGCTGTTCTTTTGAACTCTGTTCATCAAAGAAAAAATTTTCAACGGCACAACTGTTTTCAGTATTGATAATAATCAGAAATGTTTCTTGAGCAGCAAATCAGCATATTAGAATGATTTCTGAAGATTATGTGACACTGAAGACTGGAGTAATGATGCTGAAAATTCAGCTTAGTATCACAAGAATAAATGACATTTTCTGTTGTGTTTGATGGTATTGATTTCTCTGGTTGTTTTTGCATAAGCAGCCCAGCCGAGACGAGGATCGAGAAAAGAAATTCTCCAGGAGAATAAACCACAGTCCTCCGTCTAGCTCCAGATACCGCCGAGACGGCAGGTGAGATTAACTTTAAATATAAGATTGTTTTAATTTTTTTAACTTTCCCAAAATGCCACACATACATACACGCATCTCTTAAGCCACCTTGTTAACTGTCCTCATATTTTCTCTTCTGTTTAAATGAAATTACAGGAGAGTAGATGACCGCAAGAAAGATGACCGCTCCAGGAAGCGAGAGTATGACTGTAACCCACCCAGAAGGGACTCGTACAGGGAACGTTATAACCGCAGGAGAGAACGCAGCCGCAGTTACAGTCGCAGTCGTAGTCGCAGCTGGAGTAAGGACCGCACTCGTGATCGGGACAGAGACCGAGATCGGGACAGAGAGCGGGACCGCACCCGATCACGATCTCGCTCACAGAGTCGCTGCAGAAGCAGAGGTGAGGCGTCACTTTACTTTAGTTGTGTGCTTTATTCCCACATTAGAATTTTTATGCATGTAGATGACATGAAATACTTTATGCTGTGATTAGTCTAAAACTGTTTTGAAAAGACTTTTTAATAAACCGATTTATGTAAGTGCTTATATTTTGTAACTCATATTAATAGAGACTGCATGGAATATTTCTACCTAAAAATACTTGAACCAAAACCAGTAGTTTTAGCTCTTGCATATTTAAGTAAAAAAAGCTTCAAAAGTTTGAAGATGATTTTTTAAATGTTTTTCAAAGAAGTCAAAAATACAGGAAAAACAGCAATACTGTAAAATATTATCCCATATTCTTTTATTCAGTATTTTTTTTACATTTGATCAATTTTAAATGTAATTTATTCCTGTGATTTCAAAGCTGAATTATCAGCATCTTTAGTGTCACATCCTTCTAATATGCTGATTTCTTCTTATTGATTTCTGAACGTCTCTTATTATTATCAATGTTGTAAACGGCTTAGTATTTTGCGGAAACTATTATCCCCCCAGTATTCCTTGATGAGTAGAAAGTTCAAAAGAACAGCTTTTATTTGAAATAGAAATCTTTATATTACATTACATGTATTTACTGTCACTTTTTATCTATTTAATGCATCCTTGCTGAATGACAAAACTGAAAACTGACCCCTTTTTAACTGTGGTAACTTAGAAACTGGCTTGCATAAAAAAATAAAATTAAAAAAACGACACATTTTCACAACATTTACAGTGCTCACTTTGTCAGTCTTCTGTTGAACGCTTTTCTTGCCCTTCTAGAGCGAGATTCTGGAAAGCCAAAATACGAGCACAGTCGTCCAGAGCGTCAGGAGGTCGCGACCACCGATGGCTACACCGCTACTCCTCTCACACCCGGGAACACCTCTGCTCATTTCCCTGTGCCCACCCTCAGTAGCACCATCACTGTCATCGCCCCCACCCACCACGGGAACAACACCACTGAGAGCTGGTCAGAATTCCCACAGGACCACACGCCCTTCGGCAGAGGCGGCCCACCAAGAAAACGCTGTCGTGACTATGATGGTACAGAATTTTTTACTCTCTAATCTGTGAACCATGTTCATTACAGACTCACCATCTTTCTGTCTTAACAGAGAAAGGCTTCTGTATGCGAGGAGACATGTGCCCTTTCGATCACGGAAGTGATCCAGTGGTGGTGGAGGACGTTAATCTTCCCAGCATACTTCCTTTCCAGCCACCGCCTCTTCCTGGAGTGGACGGCCCACCTCCTCCGGGTCTGCCGCCCCCTCACTCACTCCTGACTCCACCAGTGAACCTCAGACCACCTGTGCCCCCACCGGGCACCATGCCACCAAGCCTACCACCTGTAGCGGGTATGAAAAAGCATTTTTCACAGGTCTAGACTTTTCATTTTAATGTTTAATGTTGAGTGTTTTTTTATAAATGTGCTGTTCTTCTGTCTTTCAGGTCCTCCGCCTCCTCTTCCTGCTCTGCAGCCCTCTGGTATGGACGCTCCACCAAACTCCATCACCAGCTCTGTGCCCACTATAGTGACGTCAGGTGTCCGGCCTCCGATCAGCCAGCCTCCACCACCCCTGTTCACTTCAGGTGAGTGCTTATGAATGAGTCATGTCTAATACAGTAATACAATGATGACTCAACTCAACTCGACTGTCATATCTTGAACCTGGACATTTATGTAATTGGATGGATTTATGTTAATGATGACTAGTTTTGGTGGAAGAATTTTTGATTAGCAATTTACAATTGAATGGTGAAAAAGAAAGCATTAAAGAAGTGTGGAATATGTCGGAACAATTTACAATCATTCAGCAGTAATCAATTCTGGGGATTAGGACTTGTATCACCCACAAGGGGTTTATTTTGCAATAATGACTGGATGACTGTGTTATCTCACTTATTACATAACTGCAACATTCAAATGTTTGGGGTCGAAATTTTTTTTTTTTAATAATTTTTAAAAGAAGTCTCTTATACTCACCTAGGCTGCATTTATTTGATCAAAAGTACAGTAAAAAATAATATTGTGAAATATTACAATTTAAAATAACTTTTCTAATTGAATAAAATTTTAAAATCTAATTTATTCCTGTGATGACAAATGAAAATTTTCAGCATCTTCAGTGTCACACGATCCTTCAGAAATCATTCTAATATGCTGATTTGCTGCTCAAGAAACATTTCTGATTATTATCAATGTTGAAAACGGTTGTGCTGCTTCATATTTTTGTTGAAACCATGCTCAATATTTTAAAGAATCTTTGATGAACAGAAAGTTCAAAAGAACAGCATTTATTTGAAATAGAAATCTTTTGTAACACAATGTGCCCTTGCTGAATAAGAGTATTAATTTCTTTATTAATACGGACACCAAATTTTCAAACGGTAGTGTAAGATTATTCAAAATGTTGATCTTTTGTGATTTGTTACTTTTGATCAATTTAATGCATCCTTGCTGAATAAAAGTATACATTTCTTTCTTTAAAACAAAAAATCATTCTGACCCCAAATTTTTGAATGGTAGTGTACATACCAAATAAAAATGCTACTAATTATTACTTTACAACTGTTATTGTTTTTATAATATATAGATTCATTTGAGCCAGAGGTGTATAATCCTGAAGCCCCCAGCATGACCTCACGACCCATGTACAGACACAGAGTCAACGCTCAGCGGCCCAATCTGATTGGTCTAACCATGGGAGAGGTGGATCTGCCTCCTCGAGGTAACCGTGAGCTCTGGCCTCCCTGCTAAACCAGCTCTTCAGGAATTTGCTTATTTTTTCCCCTATGGAATTTAAATAAAACCTAACAGATTTTCTCATCCTTTACTCGCCTCTTTTTGTGTGTGTAAATCTTTCAGAGAAAATGTCAAACAGCAACAGCGCTCGGATAGTTTTAGAGTCAGACTCCAGGAAGAGAGGAGCAGGACTGCATGATGGAGCGATTCCTGCAAAGAAACCCTGGTTTGACAAGTAAGACAGAGTCATTCAAATATTTGATAAAAACTAACATTTTATTAATATATATATATATATATATACATCTCCTTCGATATTAAGCCGTGAAGTAAGAAAAGGGGTCAAAATTATTTTTAAATAGATACATAAAAGATGCATATAGTTGAATATGAATGTTGAATCTCTTCAAATGCTTGAGTGCACACAACTAAATTATCCATTTGTTTGATCTTTTCAGTCCGTTTCATTACTAACATTTGACCTCAATGTGCATGTTTTTTTTCGCTCCACAGACCAAACTTCAACAAACCCAACCACCACGGCTTTCACAGGAAAGTGCCCTACTCTTCAGCAAACACCAAACTGGCCATCCGTCAGATTCCTCCTGAACTCAACAACATCAGCAAACTAAACGAGCACTTCAGCAAGTTTGGCACCATCGTCAACCTCCAGGTACTGGATGGTTAAAAGTCAACACTTGTGATGTGTTGATGTTCATGATCATAAAGATCTTAAAAGCACATTTCCTCTGTCTCAGGTGGCATATAATAATTACCCAGATGGGGCGCTGATCCAGTTTGCTTCTCCTGAAGAAGCCAAACGGGCCATGCAGAGCACAGAGGCAGTGCTCAACAACCGCTTCATCAGAGTACACTGGCACAGAGAGGACGCAGTGGAGCACACATACACCACGCCACATCTGGTATCAAATCCTCCAGTAAACATGCTGTGATTTAGAACAAACAGGCGGAATTGAACTATTAGAACTGTTAGTGGTCGAGCAGTATTTTATTAGTGACCGATGCCACTAATAATTGTGATTAAATGTATACATTTAATTGTATATGTTATGTATAGATTTTATTTAAAGAGAGTAACTAACACATTTATCACAGTTTAACTTAAAGATGGTAAATAAGACATTTGTTTTATAAAATTGTCACAATTTTTATTTTTCATTATTTTAGGCTACACCGCTACTCCTCTCACACCCGGGAACACCTCTGCTCATTTCCCTGTGCCCACCCTCAGTAGCACCATCACTGTCATCGCCCCCACCCACCACGGGAACAACACCACTGAGAGCTGGTCAGAATTCCCACAGGACCACACGCCCTTCGGCAGAGGCGGCCCACCAAGAAAACGCTGTCGTGACTATGATGGTACAGAATTTTTTACTCTCTAATCTGTGAACCATGTTCATTACAGACTCACCATCTTTCTGTCTTAACAGAGAAAGGCTTCTGTATGCGAGGAGACATGTGCCCTTTCGATCACGGAAGTGATCCAGTGGTGGTGGAGGACGTTAATCTTCCCAGCATACTTCCTTTCCAGCCACCGCCTCTTCCTGGAGTGGACGGCCCACCTCCTCCGGGTCTGCCGCCCCCTCACTCACTCCTGACTCCACCAGTGAACCTCAGACCACCTGTGCCCCCACCGGGCACCATGCCACCAAGCCTACCACCTGTAGCGGGTATGAAAAAGCATTTTTCACAGGTCTAGACTTTTCATTTTAATGTTTAATGTTGAGTGTTTTTTTATAAATGTGCTGTTCTTCTGTCTTTCAGGTCCTCCGCCTCCTCTTCCTGCTCTGCAGCCCTCTGGTATGGACGCTCCACCAAACTCCATCACCAGCTCTGTGCCCACTATAGTGACGTCAGGTGTCCGGCCTCCGATCAGCCAGCCTCCACCACCCCTGTTCACTTCAGGTGAGTGCTTATGAATGAGTCATGTCTAATACAGTAATACAATGATGACTCAACTCAACTCGACTGTCATATCTTGAACCTGGACATTTATGTAATTGGATGGATTTATGTTAATGATGACTAGTTTTGGTGGAAGAATTTTTGATTAGCAATTTACAATTGAATGGTGAAAAAGAAAGCATTAAAGAAGTGTGGAATATGTCGGAACAATTTACAATCATTCAGCAGTAATCAATTCTGGGGATTAGGACTTGTATCACCCACAAGGGGTTTATTTTGCAATAATGACTGGATGACTGTGTTATCTCACTTATTACATAACTGCAACATTCAAATGTTTGGGGTCGAAATTTTTTTTTTTTAATAATTTTTAAAAGAAGTCTCTTATACTCACCTAGGCTGCATTTATTTGATCAAAAGTACAGTAAAAAATAATATTGTGAAATATTACAATTTAAAATAACTTTTCTAATTGAATAAAATTTTAAAATCTAATTTATTCCTGTGATGACAAATGAAAATTTTCAGCATCTTCAGTGTCACACGATCCTTCAGAAATCATTCTAATATGCTGATTTGCTGCTCAAGAAACATTTCTGATTATTATCAATGTTGAAAACGGTTGTGCTGCTTCATATTTTTGTTGAAACCATGCTCAATATTTTAAAGAATCTTTGATGAACAGAAAGTTCAAAAGAACAGCATTTATTTGAAATAGAAATCTTTTGTAACACAATGTGCCCTTGCTGAATAAGAGTATTAATTTCTTTATTAATACGGACACCAAATTTTCAAACGGTAGTGTAAGATTATTCAAAATGTTGATCTTTTGTGATTTGTTACTTTTGATCAATTTAATGCATCCTTGCTGAATAAAAGTATACATTTCTTTCTTTAAAACAAAAAATCATTCTGACCCCAAATTTTTGAATGGTAGTGTACATACCAAATAAAAATGCTACTAATTATTACTTTACAACTGTTATTGTTTTTATAATATATAGATTCATTTGAGCCAGAGGTGTATAATCCTGAAGCCCCCAGCATGACCTCACGACCCATGTACAGACACAGAGTCAACGCTCAGCGGCCCAATCTGATTGGTCTAACCATGGGAGAGGTGGATCTGCCTCCTCGAGGTAACCGTGAGCTCTGGCCTCCCTGCTAAACCAGCTCTTCAGGAATTTGCTTATTTTTTCCCCTATGGAATTTAAATAAAACCTAACAGATTTTCTCATCCTTTACTCGCCTCTTTTTGTGTGTGTAAATCTTTCAGAGAAAATGTCAAACAGCAACAGCGCTCGGATAGTTTTAGAGTCAGACTCCAGGAAGAGAGGAGCAGGACTGCATGATGGAGCGATTCCTGCAAAGAAACCCTGGTTTGACAAGTAAGACAGAGTCATTCAAATATTTGATAAAAACTAACATTTTATTAATATATATATATATATATATACATCTCCTTCGATATTAAGCCGTGAAGTAAGAAAAGGGGTCAAAATTATTTTTAAATAGATACATAAAAGATGCATATAGTTGAATATGAATGTTGAATCTCTTCAAATGCTTGAGTGCACACAACTAAATTATCCATTTGTTTGATCTTTTCAGTCCGTTTCATTACTAACATTTGACCTCAATGTGCATGTTTTTTTTCGCTCCACAGACCAAACTTCAACAAACCCAACCACCACGGCTTTCACAGGAAAGTGCCCTACTCTTCAGCAAACACCAAACTGGCCATCCGTCAGATTCCTCCTGAACTCAACAACATCAGCAAACTAAACGAGCACTTCAGCAAGTTTGGCACCATCGTCAACCTCCAGGTACTGGATGGTTAAAAGTCAACACTTGTGATGTGTTGATGTTCATGATCATAAAGATCTTAAAAGCACATTTCCTCTGTCTCAGGTGGCATATAATAATTACCCAGATGGGGCGCTGATCCAGTTTGCTTCTCCTGAAGAAGCCAAACGGGCCATGCAGAGCACAGAGGCAGTGCTCAACAACCGCTTCATCAGAGTACACTGGCACAGAGAGGACGCAGTGGAGCACACATACACCACGCCACATCTGGTATCAAATCCTCCAGTAAACATGCTGTGATTTAGAACAAACAGGCGGAATTGAACTATTAGAACTGTTAGTGGTCGAGCAGTATTTTATTAGTGACCGATGCCACTAATAATTGTGATTAAATATATACATTTAATTGTATATGTTATGTATAGATTTTATTTAAAGAGAGTAACTAACACATTTATCACAGTTTAACTTAAAGATGGTAAATAAGACATTTGTTTTATAAAATTGTCACAATTTTTATTTTTCATTATTTTAGCAGTAAATAACACATCACATATTGTTATATATTTATCACAATTTAATATAAAGAGTACATAAATCACACTTTTTATGTTTATCAATTTAATTTACATATGGCAAACTACATTTTTTTTATAAACTTTTAATTTCAAGATAGTAACTAGGATATTTATCACAGTTTAGTATATATTAACACATTACAGTCATAGCAATACAATTCATATTTATTTTATATAATATTAAAATAATTTGAACATTTATTTTAACTTAAATGTGTTAAAATTGATTTATTTTTTTCAACAACTTCTTTATGTTGGTGTTTTATCCTATTATAATATATGTTTTAGAAATAAATAATTTGTTAATCACTCATGAATAGAAAGCAAATTAAACACTACAACAAACAGTTCACTCATTAATCATCCTTGGCTATATATTGATGATCCACTAATTACTACCTATGCTGCATTAATAACTCTTTCCACAGCACAAAACAGTCATAGTTTATAGTACACGTCCCTTTTTTGACCAGATTCTTACATTTTATTGTGCATGTTCTGACTGCTGAGTGTATTAGGCAAACATCATGATCAATGCATAAAGGTTTTTATATATCGGAGGGTTTCAGCTGTGAAATCTGACTGTAGGAGCCATGTTTGTTGTTTGTAGAGCGTACAGCCAGCCCATCAGCCTGCGGTGGCCACACCGAAACAGTCAGTGAAAGATCGGCTCGGACCCCTGCCCACAGCCCACCCTGAACTCTCACACGACTCCGGCGGCGCTCCACAGGTGAATGTGTGACTCGGACTGTTCCTGAAAGTGTGTGTTTGTATTTGTGCTTTGTGCTCAGATCTCAGCTTTTCTCTGCGTTTCTCTTCTCAACAGAATATAACCAAGGCTTCAGTGAAGGAGCGTCTGGGCCTTTCTAAACACACTGGCTTTGGAGGAAAGGTTTGTTTTCATAGTTTGCGTTGTCAGGCTTTGTACTGCTAACTGAAAGTATAGTCCATGTCCACTTCCACTTTTAGGGCCTATTTAAATGTCTGCAGAATATGCATCCAACAGTGCCATCTTGTTGTGGACCACTGGCTTCTTTTGAGACGCTTCTAAGTTTATACATAATGTCAAATGTCTTGGTAAAGTATTTTTCTTTACAGGTTTTTTCCACATCTACTGGCCTGACTAAGACTGTTTATAACCCAGCTGCACTGAAAGCTGGCCAGAAGGGAGCGCCATTTGGGACAACTCTCATCGCTGAAGATGCCCTGAAAAGGAAACGGGTTTGTATCATTGTGCTGGAAAAAAGCAACCCGCAAGGCGCACGTTTTATGCTAGCAGTGTTGAACTTCTGTAAATGTGGTTGTCATTCTCCACCAGGAGGCACTGAAGCTTCAGCAGGACGTTAGGAAAAAGAAGCAGGAGATTTTGGAGAAGCACATTCAGACTCAGAAGGTGTGCCATTTAATTGTTGTCCTTGTGTCTTGTTGTTCATACATTGTTAATAACTTAATAAATAAATAAAAAACAAAAATGTATTTATAAAAATAAATTTAATTAAAAGTGTTCCTGTGGCTCATTGGTAGAGCATTGCGTTAGCAGCGCAAAAGGTCGTGGGTTCAATTCCCAGGGAACACACATACTGGTAAAAAATGTATAGCCTGAATGCACTAAGTCGCTTTGGATAACAGCGTCTGCTAAATGCATAAATTATTATTATTATTAATTAAAATGCTCGATGTTTGCTGGGTGTCACTATCAGTTGAACAGCTGTATTTTAATGAGCTAAAGTTAAAAAGTTCACTACTATTCAAAAGTGAGGGATTTTTGCTACTTTTATTCAGCAAGGACACATTAAAATGATTTATAATGCTACAAAAGATTTCTATTGCAAATAAATGCTGTTCTTTTGAACTTTCTATTCATCAAAGAATGCTGAAAAAATATATCCGTTTCCGCAGAAATATTAAGCAGCATTTATATATAAAAAAAGTTTCTTGAGCACCAAAGTAGTATATAAAAGGATTGTGTGACAGTTCAGCTTTGCCATCACATTAATAAATTACATTTTAAAATATATTTAAATAGAAATATATATGTATAGATTTGTATAATTATAAATGATATTCAAATAGAAAATGTATTATTAGTAAATAATATATTTGTATGTATTTTAAATGAAACTGCAACATAGTACCAGGCTGGCACGGATTTAATTACCTCAAAAGTGAGAAAATGTTCATTTTAATGTAATGTAAAAAAAGCTACAAAAAGTCTAGAAAAACAGCTTTTTGTTGTTGCCACAGCTTGCTCTAACTAGGGATGGGAAGCAAGTTTTTGGAGAATGTTTTAAGTGATCTGCACTATTTGACAAGTTCATAAATCAGTTGGTTTAAGGATGGGGTTGGGTTTTGCATTGATAACTTTGTACATAACTTTATGAGATGACTGAGACTTATGCATGTCTTCAGCTGCTGATATCTAAGCTGGAGAAGAACAAGTCCATGAAGGCGGAGGATAAGGCTCAGATCATGCTGACCCTCACCACCCTCACCAACAGCATCACCAGACTACAGGAGCAGATGAAAGGACTGTCCAGTGCTAATGCCCTCAGGACCACACTTAAGAGCAAAGCTCAGGTACACACCCAGTCCCAAAGCACCATAATCAACAAATAGATTTTTCTGCATATGTATATCCTGATGCATCTCTGTTTTTAGGCTCAAAAGGAGCTCCTGGACACCGAGTTGGACCTTTATAAGAAAATGCAAGCAGGAGAGGACACTGCTGATCTCAAGATCAAATACACTCAACTGCAGTTAGAGGTATTTCACAAAGAGACAAAAAGCACGTTTTTGAGCTTGTTTGTGGTTGTAATTTATTTCTTGTAGCTAGAAATTGACATGTTTATATTTTTACAAATGTAGACAATATTGTGTGTGTGTGTATATATGTGTGTGTGTGTGTGTATATATATATATATATATATATATATATGAATGAATGAATGGCTTATAAATAAACAATTCTCAGTCTTTCCACTGAGTGACACTACAGTGCTACTTAAGCTTCACAAGCGTATATTAGATCTTTTCTTTTCATTCAGGCTGCCAAAAGGGGGCTTCTGACCCCAGGACGTGGGAGGGGGGCCCACGGCAGGGGTCGGGGGGCCCTGAGGAGCCGAGGCCGAGGGATTCGAGGACGTGGGAGAGGACTCCCAACTCATGCTGTGGTGGATCATCGACCCAGAGCTTTACAGATCAGCGCTTTCACTGAGGCAGATCGAGTCGACCTGCTGCCACACTTCGCAGTGAGTGACTTTAAAGGGCACATTGCATCACACTGTTTATGAGGTATGTCTTTGAGTCCTAACTGCTTTTCTCACTAACCTCCAGCAATACGGGGAGATTGAAGATTTCCAGATGGAGGATTCTAGTCCTAGTGCCATCATTACATACAAAACCCGTGCAGAGGCTGAACAGGTCTTAACATATTCCCAGAAACATCAGTAGACACATACATGCACGCCTTCATGCAGAGTCTAAACTTCAGCTCTGTTTCTCAGGCGGCCATCCACGGCGTTCGGTTAAATAACCAGGAGCTGCGTTTGGCCTGGCACAAGCCCACGGCTTCCCTCAACACAACAGACCTGGATGAGGTTGAACCTGAGGATGAGGAGGTACGCCCTTCATCAGTAGGCGCGTTTCCATTACAGATTTACTCAAAACTTTGGCGATATTTTATAAATGTAGATAAAAATGTATTGCGAAATGGTGTTTCCATTAACTGATGTAATGCGACTAAAACGTAATTTTTTCCTCTCGCGATAAGTCATGGCAACAGATTTTGGCTACACAAAATGTAACATTTTTATTCATCAAGGATGCATTAAATTGATCAAAAGGGACAGTAAAGACATTTGTTTCAAAAGATTCGTAGTTCAAAAAAATGCTGTTTTGAACTTTCTATTCATCAAATAATCCTGAAACAAATGATTGAGTTTTTTTTTTTTTTAAGATTAGCATATTTTCAATGATAATGATAATGAGATATATTTTTTGAGCAGCAAATCAGCATATTAGAATGATTTCTGAAGGATCATGTGACACTGAAGACTGGAGTAATGATGCTGAAAATTCAGCATTGATCACAGGAATAAATTACACTTTTATATATATATAAGTGGAATAAAGTTATTTTAAATTGTAATAATATTTCATCATATTTTTGCTGTATTTTTAAATGCAGCTTTGGTGAACATAAGAGACGAAAACAGGAAAAAAATAAACTTTTGAACAGTGGTGTATATATTATATTATATATATATATATACAGTGGGTACGGAAAGTATTCAGACCCCCTTAAATTTACAGTCCTGCAGTAATACATATTTTGGTTGTCCAGAGGCTGAAATATTTAACAAATTACTTTACTTTTGGTCATTTAGCAGACGCGTTTATCTAAAGCGACTTACAAATAAATTAACATCTTATTTTCTTTTTATTTGAAACTTAATTTACACAACCCAAAAATATGATGACAAATGAAGTCATCAGTGTATGTACACAGCTTAATGCACCACTTAAGTTAAAATAACTTAAAATTAATCTCAGTCATTTTGCATTATCACAGGTCTTACTCTAAATTCTATTTGAATGAGCCACAAACTTACGTAATAACCAACTGATGCACACCTGTGACAGCACAACAGTAGAATCAATTTTCCTATTGTGGAATGTTGTGATGTTGCCTAGCAATTGTAAACCACTTTGCATTGTACCTTAGAACATACCTTAATAAATGTAGGACACGTATTACTCTGTTTCTTCCTGGTTCTTGTGTGTAAGTAACATAAAACAGTCATGCTCACATGTAGCTGAGTGAATGTTCCTTGGTATAATTGTGCATTCATTTCGTTCTAAGTGTGTCTGTTTTCTGATTGGCTGCAGTTTCCAGATGATTCGCTCATGGATGATTCCCTGCTGCAGGACGATGACGAAGAGGAAGAAGATAATGAGTCGCGCTCATGGCGCAGATGAAGATGAAGTTGTGTGTCCAGTCCTGCTGCACTGCACCACTCAAGCGCATCGGATCTTGAGTTCTGTGTTTTTGAAATGGTTTTTAATAATATTGATTTACGTTTCATTGGCTTTTTTATTTTACTTATCAAACCTGAGCAGCAAATAGAAAACGTTACTCAAAAGGCTGTGAATTTCAATTATTGATATGTAGAATAACATGAATGATTTGGTTTCTCGCCGTCATCGTTTTGTTTTGTATCGTGTCAAAACATTGACTAACTTTTGGCGGCTGCATTGTTTTTTTGTTTTTTTTTTCTTCGTGAGAATTAAGATTTTTCAAATTATATATGTATCAGCTTTAATGCACTTACAACAAAGCAGTCAAATGCCAAAAGTTTTGGTTTTAAGGATAAAATTAAACATTCAAAATGTATCTTTTAATTTATAATCTGCAAAGGAGTGGAAAAAGTGGAAATCAGGATTGGACATAAAATAATTAATGCATGTGAGAATGGGCTGAGAATTGAACAAATGTGACCCTGGAGCATAAAAGCAGTCTTAAGTCGCTGGGGTATATTTGTAGCAAAAACCAAAAATACATTGTATGGGTCAAAATTATTGATTTTTCTTTTATGCCAAAAATCATTAGGATATTAAGTAAAGATTATGTTCCATGAAGATATTTTGTAAATTTCCTACTGTAAATATATGAAAACGTAATTTTTGATTAGTAATATGCATTGCTAAGAACTTCATTTGGACAACTTTAAAGGTGATTTTCTCAATATTTAGATTTTCAAATAGTTGTATCTCGGCCAAATATTGTCCTATCCTAACAAACCATACATCAATGGAAAGATTATTTATTCAATTTTTGAAAAATTTACACTTTTGACTGGTTTTGTTGTCCAGGGTCACAAATCGTTGTAATCTGGCTCAGAGAAAGATATGAATCTTGTCACTTTTCCTGATGACTATGTGAAAAATACAAGACCTTTCACCTCACAAATGATTGCCAAAAGCAAAAATGTTACAAAATGCATAATGTTTTGTGAGAAAGTCTAACATGCTAGAGCAAAACATGCACTATTTTTGGAATCCGCAAACCGTAATCGATAAGAAACAAGTACTGGATTTCATTCAGCAAATATGATGCAGGGCGGTGTAATAAGTCACAAATGATTTCCTTTCACAATCTATGATTGCATTCAAAATCGGTAATATTAATTGTGTCCAAGACAATATTCAAAGGCCCTCCAATCAAAGCTCATAATGTTCCTCTGATACTTGTAATAAAAATAAAATTATAATAATAATGTTGTGCATCTTTATTTTTAGTGTTTTATCAGTTTAAATAACATTAATACATACATTTTATCATATAAGTTTAGTACATTTATTTTGATTTTGAGGCACCTCTAAACGTTTGCTGAGGCCGCTTGTTGAGAACTGCAGTTGTACTTTGATGAATTTAGTAGATGAATTAATTGCACTTTTACTGAAGAACAGAAGGATGAGGGATTTCAATACAGAGCTTGTAATGACCGATTACTCTGTTTTTTTTTCTCTCTCTCTCTGGGTTAGTTGTCAAGAGTCGCTCCATCTGTCTCACTCTGCGGCGTGGGTAAAGGTGCTGACAGAAGCTTTGGCTGTTTGAACTTTACAGTGGCCTTGTCTTGCAGACAACTGCCCTCAGCTGAACCACAAATCCCAGATTCCCCAGCAACACCGCAAAATTAGCTCCATAAATCAGAGGGGCTTCTGGGAATAGGCCCTGTGTTACCAGGGGCAATGGATCATCCCAGATACTGGTGTCAGGGGTGCGTGAATCTCGGTGCCACAGGACGCGAGACCGCGGGCAGATCCAGCCATCACTCGTGTTAAAAATACTCCAGTGAAGTCAGTGAGAAACACACGAGCAGGAGCTGCCAGAAGTGTCTGTCAGTGTAAATGTTCACACATGCGTACACGCAAAGCCCTCTCTCTATTTTTATTTGTATTGGCTGGTGCATGGTGTAGTTTTGCATATGACTTATTAAAGATATTCAGGAGATTTTGAACTGTTATAGTCAATATTATGACTTTGCAGTAGATTGAGTGTTTTAATTGTTATTTTTTTCTAGTTCTGTGACTGATCACTGGATGGCAGTGTGCTGCAAATATATATTTACCATTTATTTTGAACAAGCGTGTAATATGATGACATATTAGCCAGAATATTTTGTCAGTTACTTTCTTGCTCATTGCATAATTCTCTGTGATACAATTCATTACTATTGCATTATTTTACCGTGTAATATAAAATAGCACTAAACATTTTTAACTTTGGAGTTGATCTGGCTTCTTCTACTTTTATCCAACTCCTTGATATTATTTTCATATAATGAAGTTGTTTCATTACCACATGCACAGTATTAAAAATAAAGCTTCCAAAAGATGGTTTTCGCCGTTATGCAACAGAAGACTTTTTTTTTTATTCCCCAAAGAACCTTTCAGTGAACAATTCTTAAAAAGTTGCATTTTTTTCTTAGTGTGAAGAGCATTTTAATAATGATGTAATGATAAAATAACCATTTTCCACTATAAAGAACCTTTTGTGTAATGGAAAATTTCCATGGATTTATAGTTTATATATATGTACTATATACACTTTGTTGATTGTCTCGGTGTACTTCACTTTTAAAGCATATGTGTTGTGCCATTAATGTAAACCCAGTGATGTATTGACATTCTGATTTGCACAGATGTGATGTGACGGGCTGTAACGAAGGTTAAAGATGTCAGTTTAATTATGGGTCAAAGGTCACATTACTTTACAAACACATCTTGGAGCCAAGATGGCAGATTAGAATGATTTCAAGTCATTTAGGTTCCTTATGTTAACATGCTTAAAAATGAAGTTTCTTTATTGGCATCAGTGGTTCAATGAAGAGCCTTTAACATCAATGGAATCTTTCTGTTATGCAAATTATTCTTTAAGTGGAAAACAGGTTCTTTGGATTATTTTGAATGTTCTTCATATTAAGGAAAAAATTAACGGTTCTTTTTGGAACCCAAAATGGTTCTTCTATGGCATCACTGAGAAACCCTCCTTTTGGAAACTGAATTTAGAAAGAGTGGAAATGAGGGAAAAATGTAATATTAACAAACCAATCCTTTCTAAAAAGAAAGAAAAAAACTACATGAAACAATTCAATAACTCTCCCGGTTATTTCAACACGTTTTCAATCACTTGCTTTGATTATAAGCCTGTTTTCATCTGGATGCTATCTGCAGAAATAATTGCACTGTGTTAAAGATCTCTGACTGCCTGTTGTTATAAGACACGGTCAGTACGACGCAGTTCAGAGGATCAATCCTGCTGCACTTGGCTGCTTTAAACTCCGAGTGGAAATAAAGAGTCTGCATCAGGACCCCAGGGGCTATTCAGCATCCCCTCCACCCCAAACACCACTATCTGTAAATTAGCTGACTTTGTGACCCTGCCTGTAATTGCATTAGTTTATCAATGTAGCACACAATTTATTATCCCGGGCAATAACGGCACACACGTGGAGCCTCGCACCTTACACAGTAATTAGAGACGAAGGATTTCAGAAGACATGCTCTAATGTGTTTGAGTGTGCTTGTGCTTATGGGTCTCTGAAAATTTATAAACACTGTACAGACCAGTGAGCACATGGATAGACACACAACACTTCTATTTCCATATTTCTATTATGAGCTAGGTGCCTATAATTCAAATATTTTAAGGCAAGTGTCAGTATTTCTATTGCTCTTATAGCAAATTGAACAAACCTCTTAACACAAACTAAATGTTAACTTTGCGGTGTAAGTTTGGTATTAATGATACTTCAAATCATGTGGCTTGTTGTGGAGAGGTGTGTGCTGTTACTTTTTGACAGACTTATTTTTTTGATCACACTGATATTTTGTCTGGCAGACAAAACAATATACTTTCGACAATGAAAGACAGACCTGAGCCAACTAGAGCTTTTTTTAGGAATTTATAATATAGTCTTTGGTGGGTTCTCTTGACTTGGGCCAAACACGATCACCTACTAACCCTCCAGAACCCCTACAATTGTAATGTTTCTGGTCAAATGAACCCTTACGGACCCTTTTCACATTTCTGAGGTTCTCAGAAGCATAAAAGATGTCAGTTTAATTATGGGTCAAAGGTCACATTACTTTACAAACACATCTTGGAGCCAAGATGGCAGATTAGAATGATTTCAAGTCATTTAGGTTCCTTATGTTAACATGCTTAAAAATGAAGTTTCTTTATTGGCATCAGTGGTTCAATGAAGAGCCTTTAACATCAATGGAATCTTTCTGTTATGCAAATTATTCTTTAAGTGGAAAACAGGTTCTTTGGATTATTTTGAATGTTCTTCATATTAAGAAAAAAATTAACGGTTCTTTTTGGAACCCAAAATGGTTCTTCTATGGCATCACTGCGAAACCCTCCTTTTGGAAACTGAATTTAGAAAGAGTGGAAATGAGGGAAAAATGTAATATTAAAAAAACAATCCTTTCTAAAAAGAAAGAAAAAAAACTACATGAAACAATTCAATAACTCTCCCGGTTATTTCAACACGTTTTCAATCACTTGCTTTGATTATAAGCCTGTTTTCATCTGGATGCTATCTGCAGAAATAATTGCACTGTGTTAAAGATCTCTGACTGCCTGTTGTTATAAGACACGGTCAGTACGACGCAGTTCAGAGGATCAATCCTGCTGCACTTGGCTGCTTTAAACTCCGAGTGGAAATAAAGAGTCTGCATCAGGACCCCAGGGGCTATTCAGCATCCCCTCCACCCCAAACACCACTATCTGTAAATTAGCTGACTTTGTGACCCTGCCTGTAATTGCATTAGTTTATCAATGTAGCACACAATTTATTATCCCGGGCAATAACGGCACACACGTGGAGCCTCGCACCTTACACAGTAATTAGAGACGAAGGATTTCAGAAGACATGCTCTAATGTGTTTGAGTGTGCTTGTGCTTATGGGTCTCTGAACATTTATAAACACTGTACAGACCAGTGAGCACATGGATAGACACACAACACTTCTATTTCCATATTTCTATTATGAGCTAGGTGCCTATAATTCAAATATTTTAAGGCAAGTGTCAGTATTTCTATTGCTCTTATAGCAAATTGAACAAACCTCTTAACACAAACTAAATGTTAACTTTGCGGTGTAAGTTTGGTATTAATGATACTTCAAATCATGTGGCTTGTTGTGGAGAGGTGTGTGCTGTTACTTTTTGACAGACTTATTTTTTTGATCACACTGATATT